AGCCTAGTCTACAGAGTGAGATCCTGGACAGGCATCAAAACTACACAGAGAAACCATGTCTCGGAAAAACCAAAACAAGCAAAGAATGATTAGAATAGCTAAAATTTTTAAAAAGATACCCCCATGTTGAGGTATTGACATGATGAGAATTTACAGTCATTCATTGGTACTATCTGTAACCCCTTTGGTAATTTTGTTAAATAAAGTTAAATACATATTTACTGTGTGATTTAAGAATTCTACATTTTTATCTAAGAGAAATGAAAATGTGTGGCCACACAGAGATGTAGGCTAAAAGGCTCATAGTTATTTATAATATTAAAAAGCTGTGAAAATGTAATTATCAATAAAGAAATGGATTAAAAATACTGTGAAATTTGTGCTGGTTAGTTTTTGTCAACTTGACCCAAGCCAGAGTCATCTTAGGAAGACAGAAACGCATTTGAGTAAAATGCCCTCATCTGCTTGGTCTGTAGGCAAGACTGTGAGTCATTTTTCTTGGTTAATGATGTGGGAGGGCTCATGCCACTGTGGGTGTCCAGCCCTGGAAAAGTGGTCCTGGGTTATATACGAAAGCAAGCTGAGGAAGTGATAAGGAGCAAGCTAGGGAGCAGCATTCCTTCATGGCTTATGTTTTCATTTATGTCCTCAGTTTCTTGCTTTAAGTTCCTGCCGTAACTTAGCTCAGTGATGGACTGTTACCTGGAAGTGTAAGATGAAGTAAATTGTTTTTTTCCTTTCCAAGCTGGTTTTACTATTTTATCCTAGCAATAGAACCCAAATTAAGACAGACCTACTCTGAAAAAAAAAAAAAATACAGGTACATGTAGCAGTGAGGAGTGATGGCTACCTTCTAAGAAAATGTGGTATTCAGAGGATAGTGGATAGGAATATTTGTCAATTGTTGCATCAGTTCATTAAAACCTGCATTTCCAGACCTAACAAATATAAAAGGGGATGTAATAGAGCAGTAGTTCTCAAAAACATAGTTAATAAACTTGAAAACTTTAGAAGTGGAAACAGAGGTTGTTCCTAAGACAATGTCTCATGATCACAGGAAGAATGAAGAAGGCTTCTCCCTTGTTTGTAGTGTTCTTTATATGGATCTAGCTCCTGGATTCATGGCTTTGTTTTTTCTTTGAAAATTTAGTGAGCTTTTTCTTAGGTTTTATATATTCCTATCGAGTAGCTATAGTTCAAGAATTGTATTGCTATCTTGCCCCTGAATGAAGAGACTTTCTGAAAGAGAAAACAAGTAGTTTGTGGTGCTATGAGTACCTACTGCAAAATTGTAATTAACTCGTGGTAAGATTCACAAAATTTAAATCTTTGAAAACCCCTAAGTATTTGTGAATAAAGATTCATATGAAATCTATTCTCTGCTGATATCAGTATAAACTTGAAATCACTGCTGAAGACAATTTGATAGTACTTAATAGAAGTAACCATAAACAATTCTAGTTGGAAAAGTTTTGAATATAAGTATTAAAAGCATGTTCAAGTCCTTAGAGTGGCTTGAAAGTAAAATCAAAAATCTGTAAGCAGATGTTTTTTTTCCCCCAAGAGTTGTAGAAGAATATACACTGACCATATTCCAATTATTTCTTATATTTTTGAGCTAATATAATTACATAATTTTTCTCTTCTATTTTCTCCCTTCAAACTCTCTCATTTATGCCTATTTTTCTCTTATTTAAGGGCCCTTCTTTTATAAATTGTTATGTGTATGCACATATATCCATATAATGCATATTCATAAATATATTCCTAAATATAACTTAGTCTGTATAATACTAGCTTGTACATATGTTTTTAGGGAAGACCATTTATTGGATAACCAATTGGTGTGCTCTTCCCTGGGGAAGTCTGTTTCTCTCACTCTCAGCATTCCATAGTTGCTTGTAGTTCTTCTTGTAGGCTTTGAGTGTCATCTTTCCCTTGTCCACTTTATTATTTTATTGTTACTCTTGTTCTTGTTCAGCTCATGTTTAGGTAGCCGTGTTGGTGAGCCATTACAGATGTAGGTTCTGACATTACTAAGAGGCACAGTCTCAGAGCAACAAACTCTGTGGTCCTTTGGCTTATATAATCTTTCTGCCCCCTTCTTTGCTGTTTTCTCTGAAATTTAGGTACAAGAGTTGTTTTGTAGATATATCTATTAGGATTGGGCTCCACACTTTTCATTTTAATTGGTTGTGGTTTTCTGTAGTGGCCTTCATCTATTGTAAAGACAAGTTACTTTGGTGAGGGCTGAGGACTACATTTATCAATGGATATAAGGACAAATATTTAGAATGTGGTTAGGGATTATGCTGGTTTAAAATGATGGTTATTGGTTCCTTGATATCCATGACTTCAGTAGCCCTGGGTAATTGGTAGTTTATATTGCCAGGCATGATTTTCTTCTTAGGCAGATCTTCAGTTCAAGTAGAGAGCTGTTGGTTACCACAAAGGTATGTGTACCACTACTGTACATTCTGACTTATTTACATGTGTAATGCAATTTAATAGGGAAAATTTGATAAGTCATCAGTATGATTAAATTTAAGTATTTTAATTAGGATGCCATAGAAAAATGTATGTCGCAGTAGTCTTTTCTGCGACTTAGAAAGGCTTATATTGTTTAGAAAGTCTTTTGTAGGAGGTTAAATCCAAACAACCAAATAAAACAATATTATATTTGGTGGTGATAGGGAATGTGATCAATAAAGAATATGTAGGATTCAGCCGGGCTGTGGTGGCACATGCCTTTAATCTCAGCACTCAGGAGGCAGAGCCAGGTGGATCTATGTGAATTCGAGGCTAGCCTGGGCCACAGAGTGAGTTCCAGGAAAGGTACAAAGCTACACAGAGAAATCTTGTCTCAAAAAAAAAAAAAAAAAAAAAAAAAGGAATATGTAGGATTCTTCTAGGTCAGATATATTAATGTTTTGTTTCATAGTATTGGTGAAAGATTCAGTTGTGTTATTTATATTGATTTACTTTTTCTTGGAGTCAATGTCTCACAAGGTAGCCTTGGCTGTCCTGGAACTCAGAGATCTGTTTGCAGAACTCATAGAGATTCGTCTGCCTTACCTTCTAAGTCTTGTTTTGTTTAAACTGCATTATATGTTTTTATTAATTTTCCTAAAACAGTATATTTGCTGAAATATCATTAAAAATTAAAATAACAGTGTATGCTTCTCAGTTCTTTTTTTAATAATGATTTTTTAAATTTTATAATTAATTTAATTTTACATATCAGCCATGGATTCCCCTGTCCTCCCTCTTTTCCCCCACCCTCCCCCCAATCTATCCCCCATTCCCACCTCCTCCAAGGCAAGGATTCCCCTTGGGATTCAGCTCAGCCTGGTAGATTGTGTCGAGGCAGGTCCAGTCCCCTCCTCCCTTCACCCAGGCTGAGCAAATTGTCCCAAGGAATGCTCAATCATACCACAAGGTCACATGCTCAGCTATGTTCATAGCAGCATTGTTTTATAGCCAGAACCTAGAAACAACCTAGATGCCCTTCAACTGAAGAATGGATAAATAAAGTGTGGTACATATACGAATGGAATACTACTCAGCAGAGAAAAACAATGACATCATGAGGTTTACAGGCAAATGGATGGATCTAGAAAAAAATCATCCTGAGTGAGGTAACCCAGACTCAGAAAGACAAACATGATATGTACTCACTCATAGGAGGATACTACATGTAAAACAAAGGATGAGACTGCTACTCACAACTCCAGGGAGGCTACCTAGTAAAGAAGACCCTAAGAAAGACACAGGAATCGCCCAACGACAGAGAAATGGATGAGATCTACATGAGCAAACTGGACTAATGGAGGGCAAGGGTCGGAGGGAAGAGAGCTTAGGGGAGCGGGAGACCCAGCTGGATCAAGAACAGAGAGGGAGAACAAGGAAAAAGAGACCATGATAAATGAAGACCCCATGGGAATAGGAAGAAGCAAAGTGCTAGAGAGGTCCCCGGAAATCCACAAAGATACCTCCACAATAGACTACTGGCAATGTTCAAGAGAGAGCCCGAACTTACCTACTCTGGTGATCGGATGGCCGAACACCCTAACTGTCATGATAGAACTCTCATCCAATGACAGATGGAAGCAGATGCAGAGATCCACGGCCAGGCCCCAGGTGGAGCTCCGGGAGTCCATTCGGCGAGAGAGAGGAGGGATTGTATGAGTAAGAGATGTTGAGACCATGATTGGAAAAAGCACAGGGACAAATGGCCAAACTAGTGGAAACACATGAACTATGAACCAATAGCTGAGGAGCCCTCTGGATAAGTGAGACAGGTGATTAGCTTGAACTGTTTGGGAGGGCCCCAGGCAGTGGGACTGGGACCTGACCTTAGTGCATGAGCTGGCTTTTTGGAGCCTGGGGCCTATGCTGGGACACTTTGTTCAGTTTTTAATATCAGGTTTGGGCTTGCTTCTCAAAGATGTCCTTGAGCTGGTTTCTAGGCTAAGTAAAATTTCAAGTTAAAACAGATCTCACAATCCTTAGAGATTCCCAAGGAAGTTACTATAGGAGCTCCACAATTATACTTACCAACAAACTTAAAAAAGTACTTTCTTTAAAAATAATTATTATACTAGGTTATAAACATGCATTTTTATACTAGTATATAATATACTTTGAGCATATTACTTCTGTAAAAGCACTTCTTCCTTTTTTTTTAGACTGGCCAGATGACACAGATTTGTTATCTTTCTGCCTCCTGTCACAAATGTTAGGATTAATGGCATGATCTACAGTGCCTAGCTTTATGTGGTGTTTTTGGGGGGTCTAAACCTAGGACTTTTCGTCATACACTGTCTACCAACTGAGATACAATCCAAAGCACTTTAAGTTTCATACATCATATAATTAATTAGGCTTTAGACCTGATTTCTTCTCAGATTGAATTCAGTAGGTTTTTTTGGTCAAAATTATTATATAAATTTGTATAAAATGTCTTTATTCTGATTGACAGTAAGTTACTTTTGTTTTAGATTCAAGCATCTACTTCTTTGCCAGTATCACAGATTTCTCAGAAGTTAATCCCTTTATTTGAACAGCCTTCTGTTGCTGAAGACGGTAAAGTGAAACTGCTTAAAAATTTTTTCTTTATTACACATGTATAATTGAGGTAGTTTACATTTGAGGGATTTTTTTTCAGATAATTATGGGTAGGGGTATAAACATCTTTTTCTTTTAACATTAATTTCTCTGTATAGAATGATTAATAAGAAAAAAATCAACAAATTAAAGTTTATGTCACATGTACATCAGATACATTCAGAAATGAGTCACTCAAATGGTGATTACAAGTTGGAACAAAAGGAAAGAAAAAGGTGGGCTTCTAAGTTGAGGGATTCAAGTTGTAGGTGGTGAGGCTTATCATCCAGAGTAAAGTCAGCGACCTTGTGATAAGAGTGCATTGACCATGCTTCCGAAGAAGGCCTGACTTCAAAGAATAGCTAGTGCAAGTTGGCCTTGAGGAGGAGGAAAAACAAAACAAAACACCACAAAGTTGGTGCTTGGGTGGGAAGAGAAGTGGGGGTGGATCTGGAAGAGTTTACAGAGGGACAGTGAACATGATCAAAACACCATTGTCTGAAATCCTCCCTGATAATTTTTAAATAATTTTAGATACATTTACATATTTTTAAGAAGAACGGCTTTATTGTAGAGGGAGACAGCAGTATAGAGGTACTGTCCTATGTGCATTTTAGCATCCATATGAAAGGGAAGCTTGTGCTTTATTAGCAGAGCTCCTTCTGTACTGCTTATAGACTCGTCTCAGTAGAGTCCTCGTGCAAGATGGTGTTCGTTGGGAATGATCTGTCCTCCAGTTATAGGGAATGCCAGGCGGCAGCATTGTTCCTCAGATTCGTTAAAATAATATAATTTAAGTAATCTTTAAAGTTACATTTGTAGTGGTATCACTTTAACAAGAATAATTTGTAATTTTAAACCTAAGTATTACTAACAGAAGTCATTATTGAGTTTGCCATTAAAAAAAAAAAGAAAGTTTATAGATGCCTAATTTATAATGTAGTATTTGAAGAAATTTGAGATAGTAAACTTTTTTTCTAATCTTTTTTGTTAAGGAGGAAAATGATATTTTAATATCTGCATTTACATATAAAACTTATTTTGAAATATTCCACTGTCACATGCCTGCTTTTTTCATGGCCATGTTGGAAAAAAATATATCCTATATTTTCAAGACTTTATTTTTTTATTTTTTTATTTTTCTTGGTTTTTCGAGACAGGGTTTCTCTGTGTAGCTTTGCGCCTTTCCTGGATCTCGCTCTGTAGACCAGGCTGGCCTCGAACTCGCAGAGATCCATTTTCAAGACTTTAAAGAAGACTAAATCTCAGAGAAAGTTTTGTATTCTTTTGTTATCTGGGAAATTTTTTGTGGGTATGTGGTGAGCAGAGAGATGTTATGTATGAAATCACGTGCTCTAACCAGTTTTAGTTAATTAGGGATGTATTGCAGTTTAGTATGTTTTGAACTTTCTTTTACTAGTCCTTTTTGTAATATTTTTTATCTTTGAAATTTTCATAAATTTATATAGCATGTTTTAATCTTATCCATCTACCACTACTCCTTCCAACCTCCCTTTGTCCTCAACACTCTGTATCTCTGACTTATGTCCTTTGTTATTGTTATTAATAACTCCTGAGTCCAAGTAGTGCAACACATATGCACATGAGTGTGCGGCTATCCTCTGAGGCATGAGCATTCTGGTAGGGGCCATGTCCTTAAAGAAGAGTGATTTTCCCTTTTTAATAGCCATCTCCTTCCAGTAGTGTAACTAAGTGGTTTAATATTTTTACTGTTTTGGATCCTAAACTTTTAATATAAATTCTAGGGAAACATGGCACTCTGCTCTGCTGGTAACTTTTAAATTAAAGGTCCTTGTAGGACATAATGGAAAATCTTTAAGATACCTCCCAAAGACCTAATCTGCCAAAGAAAACAAGTTATCAGCAACTAACAATAGTTTCTTCCTAAATTTTTATTAATTCATGCCTGCAGGGAAAACTTAAAGAAGGTAAGCAAGATGGGGCAGTGGTGGCTCAAGCCTTTAATCCCAGCACTCAGGAGGCAGAGGCAGGTGGAACTCAGTGAGTTAGAAGCCAGCCTGGTCTACAAGCGAGTTCCAGGACAGCCAGGACTACACTGAGAAACCCTGTCTCAAACCCCAACTCTCCCCCACCCCTAAAAAAAAAAAAAATGTAACCACACCTGTACTGAATTCACATATGGGCAATTGTTAATCAGTTTGGTATATTTAATTCTCAAAGATATTTACTAGCCATTGTCTGAGCATTGGACCCATTCCTGTACCTAAATAATTTGCTCTTTCCCTAAAATTGTTACATTCCTCATCTTTCCCTCCCGTGTAAAGAAAGCTGGAATATATGGACCTCATTGGAACACATGGACAATCACAGTGTTGTGGTTGATTCTCTCACCCCAGTTCATATTAATTCATTTTTGTATCTTTTCTGCTGTTTGTAGTCAGTTCATTCCAGCAAACCTGTAAACTTTAATCATCAAAGGGAAGCTTTTCCTTTTTACCCTACAGTAAATCTACTGACAAAAGTATAGGTCATGGTTGGGGCAGGTAGTGTGAGAACTCCTCACACTACTCAATTTAAAACTGTTTTCATTGTTTTGAGTAGTTGATAAGTGGAATCTTTCATCTACTATTTTTATAACATGGTTGATTACTGATAAATAAAATTACATTAAATGAAGCTGTAGTTAAAGGGATGCTCTATTAACATTTCTGGGCCTGGCCTCTGTTGCTAATATTACAGAATTGTAAACTGAGTCCTGTTACACTATCCAGATATAGGATAACGTAGTATGTTGCTTTCAGTATTCATAATGTACACAATCATTATTTTAAATACATGTTATTGTTTTTTGTTATAAAACAATATATATGAGTTTTTAAAGTTGATTTTTTTCATTTTTGATTTGGGAGAGAGAGCTCAGTGTTTAAGAGTTCATGATGTGCTTGCATAGGATCATAGTTCAGTTCCCAGCACTCACACTGGGCAGCTCTCTACTGCCTCTTACTCCAGCTCAAGAATAAAAGTTGCCCTCCTTTGTACTCTGTGGGCACCTGCACACAGATACACACAAATATACATAATTAAAAATAAAAATGAATCTTAAAAAATGATTTTATGCCAAAGATTACATAATTTATAATTTCTATAATTTTTATTCTTTGCAATGTTATTTATTCAAAATTAATTTCTGTATTCTTTTCTCTAGCTTTTGTGTTCAACTTTTAATATAGACCCATAGCATATTAATGCTTACATTATTTCAGAAAAAATATAAAAATGATAAACATAGATTACTTCTGTTGTTGACTTAAAATATTTTATTAAATTTAGATTCAGAGGAGGAATTTTTTGATGCACCCTGTAGTCCTTTGGAAGATTATCCTCAAATTCTATCTAAATTTAAAAGTTGTGGACCTAAAAAATTACAAAAGAAAAATAGTTCAATGAATTTAATTCAACTTAAGATGCGGTTTGAAGTAGCAGAGGTATGTATTATGATTACATAAATGTCGGTTATGTGAATTGTCATTTATACTTTGTGCAGTTTACTTATATACTGTCTTTACTAATAGATACTGTTCAAGGTATATGGAGATATGGTGTATGGTTTCCTTCATTTTTTTAAGATTATCTTTTTTTTTAATTAAGAAATTCGTTGTTCATTTTACCTACCAACTACCTCCTCTGTTCCCTTCTCTCTTCCCTACCAGCCTTTCTCCCCCAAACTATCCCCCATTCCCTCCTCCTAAAAGGTTAGGCATCCCATGGGGAGTCAGCAAAGCCTGATACATTCAATTGAGGCAGGTCCAAGCCCCTCTCCCTGCATCAAGGCTGTGCAAGGTGTCCCACCATAGGTAATGGGCTCCAAAAAGCCAGCTCATGCACCAGGGTGTATCCTGATCCGACTGCCAGCAGGGCCCTTATCTTTCTTAAGAATTAGTGTTTAAGTGGTATATTGTGGGCAGTTTTCCAATACATATTTTTTGATGATGATTATACAATGTAAATATGCATTGTATGTGTGGGGGAAAATAAAAAATCAATACTAAGTTTAAATTCTTAACATACTACATATATATCTTCTGTATTCATACATGGTTATCACATAGGTGACCTATGTGCTTTGCCTTTCTTCTACAGGTTTTGATTCAATTTTATCACCTTGTGGGAGACTGTGAACTACCCGTGCTAGAAATGGGTGTTTTAGGATTGGGTACAGAAGTTGAGATTAGAAAATTTGATTTGAAAGCAAATGCCTTTTTGAAGGAGTTCTGGTTAAAATGTCCAGAATACTTAGGTAAGACTATTAAAATATATAAATTACTTTCAAATTTGTTTACCTACTGTAGAATTTTCTGTTCCTTAGACTTTGAATCAATATATTTATATTATGAAATAGTTTGAAAAAAGGAGAGACAATTACATTCAAATTTATATTAGTTTATTTTCTTTAATACATTTTTAATTAAAATATAATTACATCACTTACCTGTAGCTGAAGTTTTCCTGGTCCTGCCTGGCTCCTGCGGCCCTAGGGATGCTTGGACCTAAGTCAACACACAGAGGCTTATATTAATTAAAACTGCTTGGCCGTTAGCTCAGGCTAACTATTGACTAGCTCTTATACTTAAATTAACCCATAATTCTTATTTATGTTTAGCCACACGACTTGGTACCCTTTCTCAGTTCTATCTTCACATCTTGCTTCCTCTGTGTCTCACTCACAACTCCTCTCTCTTCCCAGAATTCTCTTCTCTCTTTGTCCCGCCTATACTTCCTGTCTGGCTATTGTCCAATCAGCACTTTATTTATTAACCAATCAGAGCAACACATTCACAGCATACAGAGCAATATCCACAGCACTTACCCTTCCCTTCCCCTCCAACCCCTCCCACACACCCTCTACTATCAAATCAATAGTACCTTTCTTTCTTTGAATATTACATATATGTGTGTATACACAAATACATAAATATAATCTGCTGAGTATGTTTTTGTTGCATGTATATGGATGACTTGAGGGCTGACAACTTTGTATTAAATAAATAGCTTGGGTGATCATCCCTGGGAGAGGCTAATTCTACCTCTCTTCAGCAGTCATTAGTTGCCTATAGTTTGTTGTCTAGTGTCAAGACCCTGTGAAATTTTCTCTATTCCACACTAGCATGGCTACTGATATTGCCATTGTTCTGGTCCTATTTGTGCAACCATTTCTAGAAGAGACTGATTCACAGCAGACTTCCTGGCTCCTATCATCTTTCCACTCCCTCTTCCATGATGTTTGTTTCCTGAGCCATAAATGTAGCAACTGTCACATCAGTGTATCCATTGATCTCTGTATTGTGATTTTCTGCCATAGTTTTCATTTGTTATAAATCGAAGCTTCTTCCAGGTGGTCGGTGGTGGTGCACACCTTTAATAATAACACTTGGTAGGCCGAGGAAGGCAGATCTCTGTGAGTTCAAGGTCAACCTGGTCTACAGAACTAGTTCCAGGACAGCCAAGGCTACACAAAGAAACCCTGTCTAGAAAAACCAAAAAAAAAAAAAAAAAAAAAAAAAAAAAAAAAAAAAAAAGGAGGAGGAGGAAGGAAAAAGAAGAAAGAGAAGCTTCTTTAATGAGGGGTTGTATCAGCACATAAATCTAGATATTTGGGGCTAGGACCACAGATGAGAGAGAACATGTTGCATTTGTCTTTCTGAGCCTGGATTACCTCATTGAATACAATCTTCTCTAAGTGTATCCACTTAACTGCAAATTACATCATTCACTTATCAACTTCCCCAACAGTGTGATGTGTTTGTTATAGTTGATTCTATTCACATTATTATCACCTGAAATCCATTATTTGCATTAGACTTAAACATTTGTGTTAAACTTATGTGTTTGGTATCACCATAAGCATGTTTTCACTGTGTTGAATATCTGCTGTCCTCCACTCCTTCCTCTGTGGTACCTGGCTTAAAATCTCCCTGTCTTCCATGCTTTCCTTTTTATCTGAACATATGATTGGAAAAATACAGTGTACATCCTTTTAAGGTTGGCTTCTTTTAGTTATCTGTGTTTAAATCTTCTTATATTTTCATGACAGCTAGTTATTGTTGACCAATAAATCATATTCCTTTGTCTAAGAACATTATTGTTACCTATCCACCTATGCATAATAGATATCTATTATGGTTATCTGTCTACTCACTTTATAAAGGACATGTTGACTTCTTTTAAGTTTTGGAAAATTTTGAATAAAGATGCTATAAATAACTATATGCAGATTTTGGTGTAGACCTAAGCTGTCTTGTTTCTTTGGGTAAATACTAAGGAGCATTAAGTGGTGGATTATATGTTAAATATATAACATTTGTAATGAACCACCAAACTCTTCCAGTGGTTATATCATTTTTCATTTTTGCTGGTAAGAAATAAGAGTGCTTTTTGTTCATCCTTGTCAGCATTCTGTTAGTGTCTGGGCTTGAGTACTTCTAATGTATATATAAAATGGCAGTTTGAATTTCTCTGATGATACATGATGTCGAGAACCTTTCGTGTACCAGTTTGTCATAGTTTCTTTGATGAGTGACATCTGCTAAGTTCATTGACTCTTGTAAAAATTATGGATCAAATTAAGTAGTTTAACCCAAATGTAGGTCAGAGGACATGCATTTGTATGGTATCACATTGTCTCCTTGTTCTCCAGCTTTTGGGAACTTGAGTGTGATGGACTGTGTTATAATTATCTCTTGGTCTCCCTAACTTGAATGTGGTACACTGTATGACAGTTATCTCTTGATCTTACAAACTTGGATGTGGTGGATTATGTCACAGTTACCTCTTGGTTGCACTAACTTAAGTGTGGTGGACTCTGTCACAGTTATCTCTTATTCACACAAAGATCATATATAGGTATTCAATTTTTGTTCTGTTATGTCAAAAGTATATTCTGTTCTTTTGCCCCTAATGTAATTTTTTTTTTGATTATTGGAAAGAGAAGTAAACCAACTGGATGGTGTTCTCTAATATATATTTTATATAGTGTTCTCTAGTGCTTAAGGGTTTCACTGTGTAGCCCTGGCTATCCTGGAACTCTCTATGTAGACCAGGCTGGCCTCGAATTCACAGAGATCTGCCTGCCTCTGCCTCCTGAATGCTGGGATTAAAGGCATGTGCTACCACCACCTGGCTTCTATGGTTAACTAGTGGCTAACTCTGCCCTCTGATCTCCAGGCAAGCTTTATTTGTCAGAACATAAATGTAATATCACACAAAACTCTAGTAATCCAGAAGTAGTAGTATAGCCATGGTTAATTTTTATGTTTATGCTTATTTTTGTCTCTCAAAGGCAAAGCATAAGTAAATATTTGCAAACAAAAAGCATTATATACCATCTTTACTGTACCTAATCCTAAAACAGTTTGCTCTTATTTTCCGAGAAGGGGTGAGTAGCAGAATTGTTTTGTGAAAAGCAAATGATCTGATAAACAGCTGTTCAAGAAGCTGGTTAATGTGTGAATGAAGTGTAGATCTTCTTAATGTTGAAAAATGTAGTTAATACCTAAAATAGGGAGCTGGTTCATGTACTCAGAGTTTTTAAGTTTGAAGGGGTACATGGGCATGTGCTATGTTTTCCTCTGTAAGAGTAAGTTACTTAGTTTGTAGTCCTTTATCCCAGTCTCTAGAATACTGATTTTTAGCAGCCATAAGTAATTTGACAATGATAGTCTTAAGGGTTATACAGATATCTCTCCTCTAGCAGTTCTCATAGAATATCTCATTTTGAACAGAATCGGTAATGTAACTAGTAAACTGTTGTGTACTGCTAAGACTGATTTTTATCTAATATGTATTAACAGGTAATACTTTCTTGATGTCTCAACAACTAGCATTTTCAGAGATACTGGCTTTTTTATTTCAAGGCATTTTTATGACTCAATTCTAGAATTCTTCATGCTCTTTCATTACCACCAAAAGTTATTTTGGTTCTTCTTTAACAACCTGCTAGTTTTGCTACTGACTTGTCTAGATGTAGGAATGTTTGAGATTTTCGTGTTGAAGTACAAAGGATACATTGTATGGAGAAATGACACTTTTTGAGTTTAAAAAACAAAGAGGGAACCTTATTGAGTAGAATCTAGGGAAATCTTTTTCAATAATAATTACTAATGCCTTCATTTATCTTAGTATAATTTTCCTACCAAGAAATAATCCTTAAACTATTTTTAGATGAAAACAAGAAACCAATTTATTTGATCACCACCCTGGATAACACAATTGAGGATTTGTTAACAATGGAATTTGTGAGGGTAAGCAGTTCTGATTTCACCTGATTGGCAGGCTGATGTAGTATTTAAATTTATAATTTAGTGTGCTTAATCCTTAGTAACTTAGTAACTTAGTCAATTCCTCTGTTTGAAAGGTCTTTCTGTTTTGTCATTATTGTCCTGTAGTCTTGATTCACAGATACTTCATACAGCGAACAAAGTACCCTATGTTCCAAGAAGAAAGGGCCTCTCGGTTGACTTTTCCCACCAGATTATTGAAAAAGAATCAAATGTATAGTGTTGATGACATTTCTTTTTGTATGTGGTGCAAAAGGATGAATTTACTTCATTTCTGCCATTGTCTGGCTACCTGCTTTTTAAGTGTCAGTCATTGCATTCCATTTATATTGATTTGTAATATCTTTAAAACTTTTATGAATCTTCTGTATGTACTGTGGTCTATTTATGAATTATTCTTTGTTTTAATTTAGCATTGTGTATGTTTTAAATAATTACTTTCTAATAAGAATTATGCCAAGAGATTATTACCATAGTTAAGACCATTTTTGCTTCCATGATTGGTGATATTTTTAAAGATTTTTGTTGTTATATTTGAGTCAGATTTTAGAATATACAAACTCTAAAGAAAATGAATAAAGCAATTGTGTTTTATGCGTATTAAGTGTATTACTATTCAAAAAGGATAAATTGTGTCATTTGCAATTATCAGTCTGTAGGCCGTGATGTTAAATGAAATAATCTATTCATGGAAAGAAAAATACAGGATGATCTTACTTATATGTAGACTCTAATAAAATTGAACTCATACATGTGGAAAAAAATGGTGGCTACTGCAAGATGGGACTACTGTGAAAGTAAAGAATGAGGAATTGTTGACAAAAGGAAATTGTTTCAGATAGGAAGTGGGAATAGATTTTGAGATCTGTTGGATAGCAGAGTAACTGTAGTCAATAATAATGTATATATCCAAAGGTAAATTTCAAATGTCTCACAACAATAGATGGTAGGTAAAGTAGTTGATGGATATGTAAGTTACCTTTACTTAAACTTTTTACATTGTATACGTTCATCAAAACATCAGGTAGTAACCTATAAATCTATAATTATCTCATTGTCAAAGACAATGTAAGAATATTTGGAAAGACAAGTGTTTGGGTACTTCTGGATGATTCTGTCACAAATTTTATTTCAAATACAAGAAAAATAAGGAAGAACCATTCAGCGCTCTTGAGGACCAAATGATTGTTCTCTATACTTGATACTATATAACATTTTTGTCTCTAGATAATATGAAAGATAGTGTGTAATCTTAATTGAATACTTGCAAGTGCTAGATAAACCCATATTTAGCACATTTTGTTTGTTATATTAAAGCAGTTGCCTTGTTCTGGTCAAACAGTTGCTTAATTAATATATGTACATATATATGTGTGTATGTATGTATGTAACATACTATCCACCTCAGTTATAGTTAATTTATATATAGTGTACAGATCTTGAAAAATTTACAACTATCATGCAATTGTAGACATAACACATCTTCCTATCATGTTCTAATAGATACATTTTCTCTTTGGATAGGCTGAAAAAAATGCACCCAATTTGAAATGTACCTATAACAATGTTTTACAACTTATTAAGGTATGAATATATAATTAACTTATTTTAAAATTAGAAATTGTGTTTCTATGTCTAGATGTCTTACCAATAATTATTTTATAATTAGAATTATAAGATTCCCAAGGATAAAGCTGAGTATTTTAAATTATATGCTTTATACCACAAATCATAGGGTCTTTTAAAGACCATCAAGTCAGATGTTTTTTTTGACCTAGTACTAAAATCAGTTTTGTTCTATAGGTTAATTTTTCCTCTCTGGATATTCATTTACACACTGAAGCACTTCTCAATACAATGAATTATCTTAATAATATCCTGCCACAATTAGAGCAACAGTCTGCCCCAGTGTCTGCTGCAGAGACTGAAGACAAAGGAGATATCATTAAAAAACTTGGTATATTTCTTTAAAATTTAAGTTTTTGGTTTTTGTTGTTGTTTGGGTTTTTGGGGGCAGGGCTTGTGTGTGTGTGTGTGTGTGTTTTAGGGGGGGTCACCAATTGGAATAGTAATTTTAGGCTCTGGTGTTCCTTTTAATTAGACAAATAACTAAAATGATTTATCATATACTCGGTTAATTTTAGAGAATAGTGATAAAGAGACTGATTACTGCTACAAGAAAAGATGTTTATTATGTAATAGATTTGAGTTGAAAATTAGACAAGAAATATTTGATTTAAAGTTTATATGACATTATTTTAAATTAAAAAAAAGTAACTGACCACATTTGAGTATTGTCATGGTTGTTTTTAATCAGAGTGCAGGTTAAGACTTGAGATACTTTAAATCCAAAACTTCTTGAGTATAATGGTAATGCTTAAAAAGCCTTTGATTTTGGAGCATTTTGGAATTTTGAATTAGAGATACTCTATCAGTTACCATTTAGAACTATGGGTATTTGTGCTTTCCATAATGATAGTTGTCTCAAAGATTCATAGTTATTGTTTTAATTTCTTAGTTTCAAATGATTGTCGCCTCTAAGAGCAGTCTTTGGCCTATTTGTGTTTGTATTCATTAGATAACTCATTTTTAGAGTTCTCAATTCAGTTGGGAGTATTTTCTCTTTGCTTTATAGTTGAATTGTAAATCTGATGTTATAATTATTTATGGTGATATTTTTGCTGCCAGGCATAGTGTGGTAATTACTAAACCTTTCTTTGTGTTGCAATGTGATTTTTGTTTTGTAGCTTTAAAGCTACCCACGAATGAAGATATTATTACCTTGCAGCTTTTGGCAGAATTATCTTGTTTACGGATTTTTATTCAGGATCAGAAACAAAACATTTCTGAAATTAAGATTGAAGGTAATATCATGTCATGAAAATATATTTAAAATTATCAAATTGAAGACAAAGAAAAGCAATTATTCATTGTTTTATTCCTTTAGGGCTTGATTCTGAGATGATTATGAAGCCATTAGTTACTGAAATAAATGCAAAACTAAGGAATATAATTGTGTTAGATTCTGATAAAATGGCTGTATACAAAAAGGTGAGATTTTGGGGTTTTTTTAAATTATTTTTATTTCATGTGGATTGGTGTTTTGTGCATTTATGTCTATTTGAAGGTGTCAGATCCTCTGAAACTGGAGTTACAGACAATTGTGAGCTGCCATGTGAGTGCTGGGATTTGAACCCAGGTCCTCTGGAAGAGCAACAAGTGCTCTTAACCACTAAGCCATCTCACATTTTTTTTTCTTACTAAGTACTAATATATCATTAAGTATATATAATTTTCGTATCAATTAGATAGGGAATTGTCATGTATTAGCAGTATCTTATGCATAATGGGTTTTGGAGTCAAGCACAATTGATTTTTTAGCTTTAATACTTAATATTTGTGTGACCCTTTCACTTACCCAATCTAGTCTTTTATTTATAAAATTAAGATTATGATTTTTTAAGTATGCAGTGCTCTTGGAACAAATAGGCTCTTTGGGTGGTTGGGGGAGGAGTGTTGCTAATAATGCTTCTTTTAAGAACACTTAAAAATAAAAGTATTTTGTCTTTAAATATCCCAAACTGGGCTGGAGAGATGGCTCAGTGGTTAAGAGCCATGGCTGTTCCAGAGGTCCTGAGTTCAGCAACCATATGGTGGTTGCTGAACTCAGGAGTTCTGGCACCCTCTTCTGGCTGTAGGCGTACATGCAGACAGAACACTTGTTTTTTTTTTTTTTTTTTTTTTTTTTTTTTTTTTTTTTTTTAAAGATTTATTTATTTATTATGTATACAGAAGAGGGTGCAAGATCTCATTACAGATGGTTGTGAGCCACCATGTGGGTGCTGGGAATTGAACTCAGGACCTCTAGAAGAGCAGTCAGTGCTCTTAACCTCTGAGCCATCTCTCCAGCTCCCAGACAGAACACTTGTATACATAATAAATAAATGAATCTTAAAAAAAAAATCTTATTTCTCTTGTCTGAATTCTGCCTCATCTAGGTTCTTCTCCTCTCGTTCTTACCCAGCTGGTACTTCCCCATCTGGCTCTTCCTCATCTTCCATCTTATCCACGCATTCTCTGTGGTCATAATCCTCCTGTCCTTCTTAGTTTTCTCTCCATCCTCAAGTTCTCCACTCCTCTCTTCCTCTCTGTCTCCTTCTACCTCTAAATCCTTCTCTGAAAATAAAACTGCCTTTTTATGCCTTTGACCCTTATTCCTCCAAGCTGTCTGCTCCCACTGTTTCTGGCGAGTGTGCTCCATCTCTAGGCCACTTGGCTAGGCAACTTCCATCACAGCTAGGTGTATTTTTAAGTTGGAACCCTTTAGTTCTGAGTTAATTGTTAAGGGTGAATCTAAAGCTAGAGATAAGACTTTGGAAAGGAGAAGGTTAAGCTTAATTGGCACATCCACCAGGCCTTCTCAAACAGGTTGTCTGGATGCTTAAGTCTGTTCTTAGAGAGTACAGAGGTATCTCTGGTAAGGTACTTTCCTCCAACTGGGGATGGACCTGACCAGATGCTGCCAATGACGATAATTACAGGGAGTCTTGAATTGGGGTTCTGGCTGTGCATAGCTGTCAGCGCATTAGATTATCTAAATATTCCTAGAAGTGGTTAGGTAAGGAGTTAGAGGTCTATAAAGTTAGTAAGGCTGTAAGAAGAGGAGGGTCTGAGCTAAATTGTGCGAAGCTATTTCTTAAGGTCTACCTGACCTAGGTGTGTGGAATTTACCCTATTTTCAGGAGACTTATTATGTGGTCGTTTGGACTGTTATTCCTGTTAGTCCTTGAATGTGGCTAAGGGAGACCTCTGATTCCAACACTAAAAGGAGAAGAAAGAGATGGGCCTGAGGAAAGGAAGTCTTTCCTGAGGTAGTTCTCCAAATACCTACAATGTATATGTCCAAATAGTGATCAGTCCACATTGTTAGCAGTTCTTAGGAAAAAATCAATTGAGAAAGCTGTGAAGGCACATATGATTTTCATAACAGAAGACAACTGATATATAACAAGCCAAATAACACCAAAAGCTCCTTAGAATTTGGCTTCCTCTGAAGGAATTCCTTGATCCCTTCAGGTAGTGGCTTTGCCATAACCAGCAGAGTTCTCATAATACATTCCTCTGTGGCCCATAGCAGGAAATGAAGTTACAGATAGTTATGAGCTTCCATGTGGGTGCTGAGAACTGAACCCAGGTCCTCTGGAATAGCAGTAAGTGCTCTTAACTGCTGAGCCATCTCTCCAGTTCGGTCATCATCACTGATAGTCATCAACTGATTTTATGTGAGAAACAAAAATTATATATACGTGCATGTATATTAATAAAGAGTGATTTAGCACAGAAGTCTCCAAATTTGCATGACTTGTAGAAATAAGGAACAAGATTTTTAATACTAATGATAATTTCCAAAGTTATTATTTGCTCCTCTGTCACTTTTACTTTTAAGATTTATAGTATGTGTATATATATATATATATATATATATATATATATAGGACAATGAAGGATAGAGCATACATTTTTATTTTTCTAGAAAGTGATGCTGACAGAAATAAAATTATCTACTAAAAGCTGTACAGATAGTAACAGAAATGAATTATAGCACCAAACATTGATTTTTCCTTCTGTATTTTATTTTTAAAATATGGCCAAATTAAAATATAGCTTAAAAGAGGTACAAATTGAAAAGTCTCTTTCTTCTGTTGTCTTGCTCCACTATCATTTTCCTTGGATTCCAGTGTATGTAGTTTTTTACATGAAATACTCCATTGAATAACCAGAGCAGCATAAGGTTTTTACTCTGTATTAAAATGTTGAGGTCATTATGCTGTGATATACATCGACTGTTGTCCTCTAAGGTGTCACTGATAAATTAAACTCATTACTGTTACAGATTTTAACTGTCAGACCAAGTCATTGTGTATTAATTAGAGCCACATTCTCCATTTACAAGTTTATTGTTGTATAATACTAATATTATTGAAGACATATTTCACTGAAATAAAACAACATTTTACTAGATTCTTGTCTCCTTTTATATAAAGACATCTTGATAATTAAGTTTCTTTTTAAATCCAGTTTTGAGTGCTTGTTAATTTTGGGCGACAAATATAAATGCATTTTTAATTAGTTTTCTCTGTTTCTAGATTTGTTATCAGGTTCATTATGACTTCATAAAATTAGTTGAGAAATTATTTCTATTAGGTTACAGTCTTCCCTTGCCCACACTAGACCACTCTCTTGGTAGTCTCTCCCTTAGTCCAGACTATTAAAATCACTTGTTTGCTGTGACTGTTAAGACAATTTCAGCCTCAACCTCTTGACTACCCATATTGAAGGCAACTTTGAATTACAACTTTACCCATATCTAATTTCTACCTGACTCCTGGTTCTTTGGCTAGGTCACATGGAATGCCTCCCCTTATGTACCCTGTCAGACTTCACTGAAAGTTATTGTTTCCCTTTGTTCTTGGGAATTGATGTCTCTTTTCCTTCAGGACTCTGCCATGCCATTCATTCTCTGTAATGAAGCTCCTCTTGGGGCCTGAAGGCCAGACCCTCCTGCTTCTGGGCCCTATCATGCTTGCCCATGACTATCATGCTCCATCTTTTTCTGAATAAAGGTCTTCTGAAGAGTAATTCATGCCAGTTACTTTCTACCAGAAATTTGTGAGATGTGTGTTGTTTTATTCTTAAATGTTTGGTGTGCATCAACAAAGATTGTGTATGGTTAAGCCTCAGTCTTAATTTTACTTCTTTTCTACATGATAATTTCCTACTACTGCTTACTGATCACTTATTTTAATTTAAATAATAATCATAAATCCCATACAGATCTGAATCTTGTTTTCAGCTTTAGGGTACCAAAATCGAAGTACATAAAGTTTTACCTGTTATGGTCACTCAGCTGGTAGAGTTTCATCTGGCAGCCTGGTTGTGAGTCCCAGGAATTCTGGGTCTTTATTTTAATTTAGACTGTGTCTTATTTTAGTTACTTTTCCTATTGCTGTGATAAACAGTTTTGTACAAAAATAATTGGGGAAGATGGGGTTTATTTCATCTAACAACTTGAAGGTTATAATCCATCACCAAGGGAAGGCTAGGCAGGAACTGAAGCAGGAAACCTGGAGGTAGGACAACACATGATGAAGCCAGTAAGTAGTGTTTCTAGGTCCTCCATGGTTTCTACTTCCAGGGATCTAACTCGGTAGGCTCTGGGGATCTAACTAAGTCGCAGTAACAAGAAAAATAACTAATATACTTCCTCTCCCTCAACCCCAGTACTACCCATCAAGTTTGCATGCATCAGGAACATGGGACAACAGCCTGCAATATTAAGTAAAGAGCCAAACGTGTAAAATGACAACTTTCTGTGGGATAAGAGTAGAGGGAAAGTCAGAATGTCAGCATGGACCAGAATCCTAGCAACATAGCCTCAACTGTAGGTATAACATACAACTGAAGGAATGTGAAGCAATGGTATAATCCTTAGATTGGGCATGGTGGCACACACCTTTAATTCCAGCAATCTGGAAGCAGAGCAGACAGATCTCTGTATGTTCAGAGCTATCATGGTCTACATAGCAAATGTCAGGCCAGCTAGGGCTACATAGAGGAAAGAAAATACAATTGGCTTTCTCACTTTTTTTCCTTTCTATTCAGTCCAGGACCCTAACCCATAGGGTGGTCTTATCCCATTTAGTTAATTTTTGACCCCTCCAGACAAACTCAAAGTTGTGTTTTACAAATGCCCAAGACATCTCTCTCTCTCTCTCTCTCTCTCTCTCTCTCTCTCTCTCTCTCTCTCTCTCTCTCTCTCTCTCTCTCCTCCCTTCCCTCCTCCAGTTGTGATGGCATACTATGATATCCATGTAGAGGTCCTAGGAAAACTTGCAGGATTCCTTTCACTTCACAGTATGGGTTCTGAGGATCAAATTCAGTTCATCAGACTTAGTGGCAAGTACCCTTACCTTTTTTTTTTTTTTAAAGATTTATTTATTTATTACATATACACTGTTCTGTCTGCATGTATGCCTGCAGGCCAGAAGAGGGCACCAGATCTCCTTACAGATGGCTGTGAGCCACCATGTGGTTGCTGGGAATTGAACTCAGGACCTCTGGAAGAGCAACCAGTACTCTTAACCTCTGAGCCATCTCTCCAGCCCATGTACCCTTACCTTTTGACCCATCTTCCTGGCCTTGTCTTAGGCATTTTTTAGCCAATAAAATTGATACCTAAAAATAACCAGCTCAGAATACTTTGACAGTCAGTTTCATTCCTGGCCAAGCATTCTTTAGTCTCAGAAATGGGATGTTCTTGAGGATCTGTTTCTCCTCCAGGCATCTTGATTGCTTCTTGACTTCTAATGTAAGACTGAATAAATACCTTACTGCATCCAAGCTAAAGAGGACTTCTCATGGTCTGCTCTAATGAAGGCTTCTGGTCCTTTCCTTGGGTAATAAAGGGACTTTGGTGTTCAGTCAACCTTTCTTTGTCCTTATCTCTAAGATTTTGTATCTTTACCTGGGCCTGAGGTCAGCAAGGTTTATTGTCTCTCTTTTTGGTCAGAGAAAAATTCTGGTGATGCTTTGGGACTTTGTAAGAAATTCACTTATTTATTTTATGTCATGGATGTTTTCTCATGTTTTTCTGTCTGTCTCTGCACCATGTCCATGCCTGCTGCCCAGGGAGTCCAGAAGAGGTTGTTGGATCCTGCTGTGGGATGTTCTGTATGGCAAATGTGTTAATAAATAAAACACTGATTGTTCAATAGCCAGACAGGAAGTATAGGCGGGACTAACAGAGAAGAGAATTGAGGGAACAGGAAGGGAAGGTGGAGACTGCCTGCAGCCACCAGGACAAGGAAGATGTAAGGTATCAGTAAGCTACGAGCCACGTGGCAAAGTATAGATTAATAGAAATGGGCTGAATATAAGAGAAAGAGCTAGACAATGATAGGCCTGAGCTAATGACCAAGCAGTTTAAATAATATAAGCATCTGTGTGTTTATTTTATAAGTGGGCTAAGGGACTGCCGGGGCTTGGCGGGACCCCCGAGAGAAAACTCTCCAGCTACAGGATCCTGTGTAACTGAGATACAAGCAGTTTTGAGCTGTCATGTGGGTGCTGGGAATTGAAACCTAGTCCTTTAGAAGAATAGTAAGTACTCGTTACTACTGAGCCATCTCTCTAGGCCAGTTCTTTGGGCCTTGTATGGGATGGAAGTATTCTTATTTTTCTAGAACCAATACCAAATAAAACCCTAATTTCAGTCTTAGTTTTTTCTTATGCACTCCCAAGAGAGGATAACAAACTGAGGTGCTATGTTTGCATTTCCCAGGGACTTGGTCTCCAACATTGCTGTTCAGTTATCCTTCATGGTTTAGCTGAATTGTTCTTACATAACTTACATGGTATTTGGCATCCCTGTAATCTTCTCTCCTTGAAGGTACCTGAATTTTCTTAGATGGTAGAGTACTTTTGTGTATAATTTCTTCTTCTTCTTCTTCTTCTTCTTCTTCTTCTTCTTCTTCTTCTTCTTCTTCTTCTTCTTCTTCTTCTTCTTCTTCTTCTTCTTCTTCTCCTCCTCTCCTTCTCCTTCTCCTTCTCCTTCTCCTTCTCCTTCTCCTTCTCCTTCTCCTTCTCCTTCTCCTTCTCCTTCTCCTTCTCCTTCTCCTTCTCCTTCTCCTTCTCCTTCTCCTCCTCCTCCTCCTCCTCCTTCTCCTTCTTCTTTCTTCTTCTTCTTCTTCCTTCTTTCTTCTTTCTTCTTCTTTCTTCTTACTTCAGCCTTCAAGAAAATCATACTTTTGCTTTCTTGGGAATTGTGGTTGATTTTCTTGATGGCTTTTCAGTCCTCCGTTCTTGCTTCTAGAATTTAAGAGTTAAGAAAACTATGTTATACTCTGTTCCAAAATTTAAAAATATTAGTTTCTTGTTTCTTATACTTTTGACTGGTAGTTATGGGGGTAGAAATTTTAACCCCCTCCCAGGCAATTCTTTGTTAGTGATTAAAATGATTCTTAACCAACTAATGAAGAATGAGAAGTTTAAAATTGAGTTATTCCATTAAAGAATGTGGGGGAGAAAAGTGATTCAGGGTCCTCAGACCTAAAGAAATGAGACACTGAGCTCTGGTAAATTGTGCAGGTGTTATGTTTTAGCTTTGAAAATTACTAAAGACATTTTGTATGATGACTGCCATTGCAAAGGAGAAAATCCAAGTGAGATGCATATCTGTTCTCCCCACTAAAAAGATACAACTGGTCAAGGTAGACCTATTTATTTTCCTGACACTCAAAGATAACAACAGAAAACACGTTAGGTTACATGTTCTCGTAAAGCATTTGGAATTGTTGCCTCATTTGTACTGACTCAAATACCTGGAAGATTTTTCAAATGGTAGAATATTTTATTATTATTTTGCTTCATTTTATTTTGATCTTGGGGTACATTACTTCAAAAATTGATTGTAATAATTGGGATTCTTCTCTCATTAAGGCTGTTTATATCACTGGAAAAGAAGTTTTCAGCTTCAAAATGATTTCTTACATGGATGCAACTGCTGGCTCTGCATACACAGATATGAATGTGGTTGATGCTCGAGTTAATTTAACTGTTGGTTGCATTGAGGTTGTGTTTGTCACAAAATTTCTATATGCTATATTGGTAAGTATTTTAATAAATTATTTTAAATTCTAGGTAGAAATTGCTATGTGTTAAGTGTAGAGACCCTATCTCAAAAAATTATATGCATGTATGAAAATTTCAGACTATGCACATAAATGCACACACATATATATATCTACCTTTGTTTTTTTTTTTTTGTTGTTTTGTTTTTTTAAACAAGGTCTCCAGACATGAACATGGCTGGCCTGGAACTTACAGAGACCCACATGCCTCTGCCTGCCAGATGGTGGGTTTAAATGTATGTGTAGCCATGCCTTGCCTAATAAAAATATATTTTACAAATTAAAAGTAGGTAAAGGATACTCATTCATCTTTGCTTTTTTTGTACAAAAATGATTCATAGAAAAATTATGTAGTATCTTCTGAGTAAAAGATCACATTGGGTTAAAAGAAGTTCAAATAGAATAGAGATCAAGCTAGGAAGATTTTATGCCTATATTGGTAGCTTAAAATAAAATGGTCTTCATAGGGAGTGGCACTGTTAGGAGGTGTGGCCTTGTTAGAGGAAGTGTGTCACTGTGGAGGCGGGCTTTGAGGTCTGTTATACTCAAGCTGCACACAATGTGGAGCACAGTTCACCTCCTGTTGCCTGCAGATCACTATGTAGAACTCTCAGCTCCTTCTCCAGCTCATCTGCCTACATGCTGCCAGGAGGATAATGGACTAAACCTCTGAAATTTTACACCATCCTGAGTTAAATATTTCCTTTGTAAGAGTTACCATGGTCGTGGTATCTCTTAACAGCAATCTCTTAGAAACCCTAAGATACACATATATACATATTTAAAATAATATGTTGAGTACCATAACAACCGAAATGTTTTATACCTTGTTTGTATAACAGTTTGACAAATATTTTAGTTAATTGAAAAATATTCTTTACATGTTAATATGTTAATATATAGTGTACTGCATAAAATTATGCATCTATTATATATGTTATATGGTGTGCATTGATTAAACTTCTTATTGTTTAAATCATAAATGTAAACATTTGTATTTTCCACCTTCCAACTTTAAAACTATACCAAATACAGATGAAGTCAACATTAAGAAAATTATACCTTTGGATGCAACGTAATTCTGTAGATATTACAGACTTTAAGAAATTAGATTGAATCTTTAAATGACTTTGCCAAAGAACTTCTGAGTTCTTTAGTTCTGCTTCTCATAAAGGTTTTCCTTTCCTATTGTACCCTTGTTGGCTATTGAATTTTTATGGTGTCATACTAATTTGTAGTCTCTTTTGTTGTTGTTGTTGTTGTTGGTGGTGGTGGTGGTGGTGGTGGTGTGTGTGTGTGTTATGCATGCTTATGTGTGTATGTACATACTAGTACATATGTATGTGTTTGTGTGTCTTCCTCTGTTGTTCTCTATCTATTGGGGCAGAATCTCATTCAGCTTTCATATTTGGCTAGCTTGGCCTGCTTCAGGCATATCCTACCCACTCCTCCTGACTATTTAGATGAGGGGCACCACACCATCCTGGCTTTCTGTGTGGGGACTAAGGATCCAGCCTCCATCCTCACGGCTATGCTACCTGTGCTTTTCCCTCTGGAATGTCTCCTAGCCCTGTCTCTGTTTTATGGCATCACTGATCTTTCACAGTACTGCTTCTACTGCTTCTGATGATTGGTGTATGAACTAGAAAATCAAGTCTAAGACAGTAGTAGAATAAATAGGCCAAGTACAGCAGTATTTAAAAAGAAGGGATTCATGTTTTTATTTGGCAATGAGGAGCCCTCTTCTGTTACTTGAGAATTTTGAACTTTGTCTAACTTGACAGTGACCTTTTAAACTGAAGTTTCCCCCAAAAGTCTTTCTGTACAGCAAAAACAAAGATGAACAATTTTTAAAAATGGTCTTTTTTTTTAGAATTTCATAATTGAGTGCTATATTTACATAATTTCCACCCCTTCTTCTGTACTCTCCAACTCCTCATGTGTTCCCCCTCCACACTCCTATTTCAATTTCATGACCTCTTTATTATTGGGGTGTGTGTGTGTGTGTGTGTGTGTGTGTGTGTGTGTGTGTGTGTTTCTGTGTCTATTTGTACCTTAAGAAAACAGATTCTTCTCTCTTAGCAGCCATTGATTGTAGCTTTTCATCTATAGGTAGTATAGGGCAATCCCCTATCCGCACTGGCATATCAGCTGGCACTCTTCATTATGTGTGTCTTGTTTATGCAATCATATTTTAGAGCTATCATGGATGCAGCTTCTCTGTCGTATATAGAAAACAACACCTAACAGCGAAATATCCTGGTCCTCTGTATTTTAGAATCTTTTCTACCCCCTCTTCTACAATGTTCCCTGACCCGTGGGTGTAGGAGTTTGCATTGTAGATGTACTAACTAGGGTTGAGCCTCACACTATCTCTTAATCTCTGCACTTTGGCCAATTGTGAATTTCTGTAATAGTTCCATGTATTGCAAAAAAGAAGTTTCTTTGATGAGAAGCAAGAGATAGACTGATTGTGGACATAAGGACAGGTATTTAGAATATAATTAGAAATTATATTGATTTGAGAAATTGGAGGAGCTGGGGTGATGGATCAGCAATTAACAGCACAGACTGCTCCTCCTGGGGACCAAGGTTCGGTTCCCAGCACCTACATGGTGGTTAACATCTCTAACTCAAATATCTGGGGATCAGATGTTCTGTTCTGGCCTTAATAGACACTGCTTGCTCGTGGTACACACACATACATGCAAGAAAAACATCTATACATATAAAAGGTTTTTAAAGTTTCTTTAAAAAAAAAAAAGCAGTAGTAGGTTGTAACAAAAATCGTAAAAGGTCTTATTAATAATTAAAAAAAACTGCAGCCAGATATAGGGGTGAAAGCTGAGATCAGAGAAACAGAACAAGCCAGCCATGTTCTTACCTCTATGAAATTCTCAGCCTAAAGAGAGAGACTTCCTGTTTACTCATGCCTTATATACCATTTTGTGCCCTGCCATCTTCCTTCCTTCCTAGTGCTGAGATTAAAGGTGTGTGTTACTACTGCCTGACCTCTATGTTTAATATAGTGGCTGGCTTTGTCCTCTGATCCCCAGGCAAGCTTTATTGGGGTACACAATATATCACCACAGTAGGTCTTCTTTTTGGGTCCATGACTTCTCCTCAAAGTCATGTCTAGAAATACAGTATTAGACATGGATTCCCTCCAGTTGGGTGGGCTTTAATCTAGAGTGTAACCAACAGCTCTGTAGTTGAACTTAAGGCCTATCAATAGGAGGCAGTCTGTGCCTAATATTATGTTTTTCTGTTCATAGACTTTACCATTGGGTAGGACTATTGATTGTTTTTTCTCTTTAACATCTTAAATAGCACCTTCTAATACTATGAGAGCAAATTCTGAGAGCAGAGGCTTCTAGATCGGTTCCAGCTTGGTTTCTTCAAGTCTTATGTCTGAAATGTGTCATTTCTTCAACAGTAGGGTCCTCCTATCTTCAAGTTCTGAGAGGCAACCAAAGGCAATAGTAATAGCATGTATTGTTTGGGGAATTTGAGACTCACTGTGGCCAGCAACACTAAGGAGGTTTCCTGTGCCTGGCACTGGGTTTTTTGTTAAATAGGCTATAGCTCTTGGGGAGAGCATCATCACCTCATGATTCCATTTAAAATACACACACTTAAAAAGGCTTATCAAATAACGTTTCCCTATGACTTTTAAAAACATGGCTAGTATTATGTAGCTCTTCTTCCTTCTTCTCTCTCCTTCTGTATTGTCCTCCCTCTCCTATTCAGGTGACACCCCACCACCACCACCACCACCACCAATTTTCCCTCTTTTGCTCTTCATAGTATCTGCATTTCCCTATCCTCCTTCTTCCTCCTGGCCCAGGCTCTTCCTGCTTTCCTGACTTCTGAAGTTACTTGTTTTTATGTAGTCAAATCTAAATATTCAGAGATAGGATTCACAAATAAGAGAGAACATGGAGTGTCTTTTTGGGTGTGAATCACTTTACTCAATATAATATTTTATTGCTACTCATTTGGCTGTGAATTTCATTTTTTTTTTTACAATTGAATAGAATTCTGTTGTGTATATTTACCATATGTCTATTATCCATTCATTGAAGAAGGACATTTAGGTTGTTTCCATTTTCTTGCCTTTGTGAACAGGGTGGCAATGAATATGGCTGAGCAAGTATATCTGTAGTAGGATATGGAGACACCTCCTTTTCCCTCTCCAGATCACATGTGCCCTGCTATTCCTCTCTCCTTTTCTCCCCACTATCCATGTAGTGGTACTATTTTACTTTTCTAGTTTCTACAGGATATGTATTCACTATCTGAAGATTTGGAGCTAGGAGCCTCAATGAGAGAGAACATGCAACATTTGTCTTTCTGATTCTGGGTTACCTCACTCAGTGTGATCTTTTCTGGTTCTATCAATTTACCTGTGAATTTCATGATTTCACTTTACTTTATAGCTAAATAGTATTCTATAGTGTATATATGTACCACATTTTCATTATCCATTCAGCAGTTGAAGGACATTTAGATTGCTTCCATTTACTAGCTGTTGTCATTAGAGCGCAATGAACATGACAAGTATTTGTGGAGTAGGATGTCAAGTACTTTGTGCATACATATGCCAAGGAGTGGTATAGCTGAGTTATCTATCTGGTAGATCTGCTTTTATCATTTTGAGAATTTTCCACACTGATTTCCAAAGTGGCTGTACCAACAGGGAAACAGGGCTCCCTTTTCCACTCATCCTCACCATAATTTGTTTTCAGTTGTTTCCTTGACCTTAGCCTTTCTGACTGGGTAAACTAGATGTAATTTGCATTTTCCTAAAGTCAGGGAATACTTTCTAAGATATTTTTGTAGCTATTTTTATTTCTTTTGAGAGCTCTCTGTTTAGAGCTATCCCCCACCTTTTTTTTTTGATTCAGTCCTTTGAGTTGTTGATTGTTGGGTTTGTTTGTTTTGTTCAAAATTCTTTGTATACTCTGGACAGTTATCCTTTATTGGAGGTATAGCTGGTAAAGATTCTCTCACATTCTGTGGATTTCAGCTTCACTCAGTTGCTTATTTCCTTTGCTGTATACTTTATTTCGGTGAAGTTCCAATTCTCAGTTTTGGACCTTCTTTCCTGACCATTTCTTACTCTTGAGGGTCCTGGAGACCGAACTTGGGTTTTCACATTGGTAGCAGGCACTTTTTTTTACACAGTGAACCATTTCACCAGTCCTTAGAGTTCTTAAATACCTTATAGATTTTTAAATCCATACTATAAACTGTGAGAAGTGCTTAGATCTTAGAGAAAGTGTACCATAAGGAAATAATACCATTGAAACATTCAAGTATCCCTTTCTTGTTTTGTTCTGATGACTAGATTTTTGTTTTCTCACTGTATATTTGTTGTTCAGTTTTTCCGGCAGGGAATAATAAGTAAACAATGGGCTTTGTTGTACCAAGTTCTTTATGGAGGTAAAATTAGTTTAATATAATTTATATTTAATATATTTAATGTTTTATTAAAGGTAATATTATGCCATTCTATATCTTTGTAGGATTTTATAGATAATTTTCAAGCAGTTAAAAATGCCTTGGCTGAAGCAACTGCTCAAGCAGCAGGAATGGCTGCTGATGGTGTAATGGAACTGGCTGCAAGAAGTTCAAGGTTTGCATTGGATGTTAACATAAAAGCTCCTGTTGTGCTCATCCCACAGTCTCCAGTGTCTCAGAATGTTTTTGTTGCTGATTTTGGATTAATTACAATGAAAAATACATTTGTTACTGTAAAAGAAACCCAGAGTAATCTCCCACCTGTAATTGATTTGATAACAATAAAGTTGAGTGAAATGAGACTATACAGGTAAGCTTTTCACAGTGTATTTGTGTAAAATAATCAATTCTTAATTCTTTGACTAAAGGACTTGATATCTTTAGAATTCTCTTTATAGTGCGATTTTATTCTATTATTACTCTACTTTGTGGTTTGTTTTTTTTTCAAGTGTCTTCTAGCTAGATCACAGTCTTTCAAAAAACAACCTGGAAATATTTGAAAACTTCTCCTTAGATAATGATAAAAACTGCAAACTTATCTGAAGGGAGTATATTTTCATGTTTTTATAATTCTTTATAAGGATGAGGTAGAAATGGAAAAATTTGACATGAAACTCATATTCACTATGCAACACATAGTTTTGCTCAGTCTATTCTGTCAGTTTTGAATATTTTTTAAGCAACTTTATTAAGAAATAGATGACTTATAAGAGTATTCATTCCCTTTTTAGTCATTAAACTTTATGATGTTATCTCTCTTATTTCTTATATTTTATGTTATATCCTTTTGCTCATCAATTCAAGGCTCTTGTTTTTTATTTCATTGTTTTTTCTTTCATTATGTTGTATTTCCTATTTTTTCATCTGTAAACTTTAGGTTCAGTTTTTCTCTTTATCTGTGTTTCTTTAGGTGGTAACTAAGATTATTGATTTTGTTTTCAACATAAGCGAAACTTCCATAAATTTAGTTCCTCCCAAGCATCTTTGGTCCCTTTGGATTCTCATGAAGTTCCCTTGCTTTGTCTTTCTCTTTTTACTGTTTGTGTGTAAGTCATCTGAAAATAGTAGTAAACTGAAGCAAGTCATAGGGCTACCATCACTAACACTTCCCCACCCCCAACCTTCAGTAATCCCCCCCCCCCCTTTTGGTGGATGGTGTTTCCAGCATGAATGTGAATCTGGTTCATCTCTCTCATCTTGCTTAAGGGAACTGCTTCCACCAGTTGAATATTTAAGCATTAGTTCAACTCTTAATGTATAAAGGGTTGGGACCAAGTATAATCATGAAAAAAAAACTTTATAAGGGATCAGTAAGTAGTGCCTACTTTATTGTATTGTTGTGGTGCATACTATTTAGTGTACAGAAAAGATCATGGAAAATTTCTCAAAAGAAGACAAAACTGAAGGTTAGGCTGAGAGTTTGTACATGAATGAAGTCAGAGCTCACCAGTTAACAAGAAAATTAAAAGTAGAGTCAATAATAACTTACCAAGTGGATGTGGAAGTTAGAGTAGAGGGTACAGGAGATACTAAAAAATTTTTTATCTATAATACTTATAAAATTCTACTTGTTAATGCAATATATTGAGAAAAGACAGAACAAAAAATAAAAACTGTACACTGGCAGTACTGGTTTCTGTGAAGTACAGAATATAAAAATAAATATAAGGAGAGATCTAAAGATACCTAGAAGATAATTGATTATATATTCTGGATATTAAAAGAAAGATCTTGTTTAAATAGTTAGCTATGAAAGTTTACTAATACAGGACTAGTCCTCGAGGTTGTTGGAATAGGTAATATTAAATAAGATTTTAGACTGATGCATGTGGGAAAGAATGGTGAGGAGTGCAGACATGTAAGAAATTTGCATAAGAGGAGTCTTTAGAAGTGAGTCAGACAAGGCCTGTGAGATGACTTAGCAGGTAAAGCCTCTTACCTTCAAGCCTTGAGTTCTATACATGGGACCTGCATGGTGTAAGGAGAGAATCAACTCCCCTATGCTACCCTCTGACACTGACGAGGCCTGTGACAGTTGTGTCTTCTCCCTCATAGGCAAACAAACAAATAAGAAAATTTCATTTGAAAATTTAAGAAATTAGCCTATGGTAGAAGAGAGAGGAGGGAAACTGGGAGACTGTATTGTAGATGTAACCAACCATCTTATTAAATAAGAAACACAGAACCAATGCGAAGAAGAAAGCCAAGAGGTCAGAGCTAAGAGCAAAAACCTTACCCTTCCTCCTGCGGTGGTCCTACATCTCCGAAAGACAGCTACTTCCTGTGTTAAAGTCTTTATATAGACTTTCTGTTCTGCCTTCTCATTGGTTGTAAACCCAACCACATGACTGCCTCGTCACTGCCTGTCTGTACAGACCTCCAGGTCTTCTATGGTTGGTATTGAGACTAAAGGCGTTTGTATCCAATGCTGGCTGTATCCCTGAACACACAGAGACTTACCTAGCTCTGCCTACCAAGTGCTGGGATTACACACCACCACCACCCAGCTTTCCTATGGCTTGCTAATAGCTTTGACCCCCAGGCAACTTCATTTATTAACATACAAATAACATTTTAATACAAATAAAATATCACCATACTGTATTGAGGTCTTGTTGTTCTTAAACATGAATTCATAGTATTATAAGTTGTTTTTTATCTAGTACTTATTTTGTATTGATAATTTAGTAGCTTTGATTGGAAACAAAACTAATTTTTTGATAAGCAGGTATTACTGAAATTATGGGGACTGGATTTTAACAATTGAAAGTCATATTGAAGGGTAATGAGGTGTAAGAAATAAAAGACAAAGGCTTAGTGATATTATAAAAGAAAATAGAAATATTTGTAAAATGATGATTCAAACTGTCTAAAAAGATGAGTGCAGACAAGTTTTTGATGGATTGTATCTTAAATAAAAGGTGATGAACTTGGGTGTTCTTATTTTTAAAGTTATGATAGAGTGGAGAACTACCCATCACTGCAAATTAAAATACTCTGAGGGGGAAAACAGCAACCACATAAAAAACATACTTCATTTGAGATGTAAAATGAATGATGCACTTAGTGAAGAATCTAAAATAATTTGTCCACCTAAGTCTAGAAATTTTATAAATTGCAGGGAAATTTAAGGAGACATTTTTGCATTATTTTTATTTAGTGCTTAGTTGTTAGAGATAGTATTATGTGGTATAGTAGCTAGTCCTGAACTCATGTCAGTCCTCCTGCCTTCGCCTCCCAAAAGCTAAGATTGCAAGTAGACATCGTCATATCCAGTAAAACATCCACTAATTACAAGTTAATTATTAGTTCTAAGTATACAGTAGTAACTCTAAACTAAAGGTATTACATTAACCAGGAGAGTCTAAACTAAAAGTCTTAATTTTTTAATGGCTTGCTTGGTTTAAAGAAATGGTAGATATAAATTAGGTGCAGATATGCATTCAAAATAGATTGATTGTTTATATATCAATTTTTTAGGTAATTAAATTGTAGTAGTGGTTTGTTTTATCTCCAAAATAATTAAACTTTATTATGAATATAAAAATTGCTAACTCATTTAACTACCCATAGTTAACAATTAATTTACTATATTTGTTCTGGTTTATTTTATTTGCATATATATTTAACTTAATATAATTGTCCTTTAAATTTTGTGTCATAAATTCTTTTTTCCCTTAAATTCATACTTAAAATTCATATTTATTGTTATATGGGATTTTTATTTATTCAAGTTGCTTATAACAGGTTCAAATTAGGTATCTGAATATTTAGCTTACTGGACTCAGAATTACACTAATGGTATAGGGGACAAGGATTCTGGGTTTGACTCATTTTTCTATACTGGTTATGACTCATTTTTTTTAATTATTAAGACATTTTCTATTCATTTTACAAACCTTCCACAGATTACCCTGTCCTCCATCCTCCTGACCCGAGCCTTCCCCCCAACCCACCCCCCATTCCAACCTCCTCCAAGGCAAGTTCTCCCATTGGGAGTCAGCAGACCCTGGTGCTTTTAGTTGAGGCAGGTCCAAGCCCTACCTCCTTGCACCAAGCCTGGCTAAGTGTCTCACATTCGGCACTAGGCTCCAAAAAGCCGGGTGATGCACTAGGGCTGGGTTCCAATCCCACTGCCTGGGGGCACCCTAAACAGTTTAAGCTAAACAATTGTCTCGCCTATCCAGAGGGCCTATCTAGTCCAGTACCATGGGGGCTCCTTGATGTTTTGTGTTATGACTTTTTTGGCTTTAGTGTTTTCTTTGACTGATGAATCTATTTCCTCAGCGCCAGAGATTCTCTCTTCCATCTCTTGCATTCTGTTGGTTATGCTTGCATCTGTAGTTCCTGTTTGTTTACTCAGATGTTCCATTTCCAGCATTCCCTCAGTTTGTATCTTCTTTATTGCCTCTGTTTCAGTTTTCAAATCTTGAACTGTTTCATTCACCTGTTCAATTGCTTTTTCTTGGCTTTCTTTAAGGAATTTATTGATTTCTTTCAATTTTTTGTTTGTCTTTTCTTCGAATTCTTTAAGGGAAATTTTCATTTCCTCTTTAAAGACCTCTATTATCTTCTTAAAGTCATTTTTAAGGTTGATTTCTTCTGCTTCTTCTGCTTTGGGATGTTCAGGACTTGCTGATGTAGCACCACCACTAGGTTCTGATGGTGCCATATTGGTCTTTATGTTGTTGATTGTATTTTTGCACTAGTTTATACCTATCTCTTCCTCCACTCCATGCAAGTGGTGTCTGTGTCTGAGGGAGCTTCTTTTGGTCCAATTGATATTCTTGGTCTAATGGGAGCTCTTGGTCTAATCCGGACTCTTGTTCCAGTCGGTGCTGGTGGATTCTGTGTCTCAGGGAGCAGATCTTAGTCCAGTGGGCACCAGTGGGCTCTGTCTCAGGGAGCAGCTATTCCTAATTGGTGCAGGGTGGGACCTGTTTTGTTAGCGAGGGGGAAGAGGCATCTGGTGGGTTCCTGGGGCTCCAGTGGCTTTGGGGGAGGGGCACGGAATGTGCCCCAGTGGCTTAGGGGCTAGGGACCTGGTCTGTCCGGTCCAGAGATGGGGTCTTACCTGTTTCCAGACGGTGCAGGGTGGGCTAATGACTCCAGTGGTTGCTGGTATGACTCATTTTCTATAGTGTTTTTACTATATAGTTTTAAAAGCATCTTGTTCTTTAGTGTTTTTGCAAATCTATTTGACTTTGTTAGACACATTAGCTGATTCAATTTCATTTTGCTGTATAAGTAACCATAATATTTTATCAGTACTTATATGATGGTCTCCCCAGTATTGTAGGATAAATCATTTCTGTACAATGAGTTCTCAGAAATAGAATCATTCAGTTACATAAAAGAACCAGTTTTCCGTGAAATAAAGTAACTCGTATTTGAAAATTCAATTTAGTTTCTGTTTTATCAAACATAAAAACAAATAACTTCATATTTGTAAGTGCCTATTTAATTTTTTAAATCTTACTGTAAATATTTATTGATTATATGGCATATGCCAGCCATCTGAGCTAAGCACTATGAAAATAACTAAGAATAAGCTACACATAGACTTTTCCTTCATAGAACTTTCTGAGAATATAAATAAAACTATAAAATTGTATAGACACATAGGGTGTGCATACAATCATGTAAGCTTAGACACATATATAATTTTAAAAAAATTAAACATATGCTATTAATATGTATCAAATATAACAATAGAAAAGTTCCAGGTATTTGTGTATGTTTATAGGAGAACGTTTTGAGTAGTAACTAATAAGAAAATTAGTTTTCTAATTTCTTCCAAAGGAAGTAACCTTTTGACACCACAATTATATTTTTTTCTGTAGAGAAGAAATGCATCCAGAGATATTTGTGGTTTGTATTTCAGTGAAAAATAAAATTTTTAATATTAAGCTAATTAAATAACTTGTCGTATAGCCATGTGTAATACATAGCCATTAACGTTTCATATCCATTTGTATTATAGCATTTCCCTGTTGGATTTTAGATATCTTTACTCACTACCATTAATTGGAAATTACAAGCATGTTTACTTATTTAAATATGGTTTTACTCCATAAGCTGTTTATGAAATGGTTTCATAACCAAATTTTCTGAGCAATCCCTTTTTATACCCATGTTTTCCTATTAATGAGCTGATAGCTAAAAATTGAATTCATGTCTTCTTCATGTAGTTTAAAATTTTGAAGCTTAGTAAAACATAAGGAATATTCTTGGAGAGTAACCATTATTGTCACTTGAAGATCCAAAGGAAGCTCCTGTGATCAATTACATTGTCCTTGAAGGAATTCAGTGATCTACTCCTTTTCAGTTTTGCCATAATAACCATTTGGAAAGGCAAATATGCTTCATCTTTGTGTGAAGTTTTTTATGTTCAGCTGTTTTGATCCACAGATAGAGAAATTGTGTATGGTGCAACTTAGTTTCTTATAAAGTAGTATAGTGTTCTGCTATAGATGAATTATTATGAAGTGTTTTTATAATGAGTTCTTGTATGTTTTTTACCTATTTTATAGAGGTAATTTTACACAACTTAGTGGTTTTGACCTTTCACTGTTTATAAATCCTATGTTTAAGTAGTACTTCTCTTTGATATGTAACAGTTTAGAGAAATTCACCTAGGTGTCTAGTGAGATGAGATATTTCATTTTGATATGTACTTTTATTTTTCTCTTCACACAAACAAGTTGCTGATGTCTTCTATTTAGTGAAGAATGATGCATTAAAGTTAATCATACATCTGTGTTTTCCTGCCTGAATATATACAAAACAGTTAAAAACAATTTATATTTTCCAATAGGTCTCAGTTTTTTAATGATGCATACCAGGAAGTACTAGACCTGCTACTACCTTTGAACCTGGAAGTGATTGTTGAACGAAACTTATCCTGGGAATGGTACAAGGAAGTTCCTTGTTTTAATGTAAAAGGCCAGCTAAAACCCATGGAGGTAGTGTTTTCATGGATTTTGATTTCTGTTACAGCTGATAGTATTATCTTAGTAACATAAATTTCTTGGCTAGAATTTAAGAATAATCAAGTTGATCAGAATTTAAATAGTAGCTTGGAAACTAGAATTCATTTAAGTTACTCCATTCATTCTCTATCAGATATTTGAATGCCTGCTATGTGTTAATCTTTATACTAGATATTAAAGATACAGTGACAGAAAAGCTATGATGTCTCTGTCTTCGTGAGAATTACCACCATGAACTGGGTTCATGATGAAGGTAGTCTAGAATGTGTGATAGATAGCAAGGAAGTAAAGAAGTAAAGAAAAGAAGGTCTGGGGAAACAACGTGGTATAATTATAAGAACTATAGTTTTATTCCCTAGATCCCATGTTAAAAAAAAAAAAACGCTGAGCAAGTGCTATAATCTCAGCACTGAGTAGGTAGAGACCAGACTCCTGGGGCAAACTGGCTATCTGATTCAGAAGTTCTAGGTTCAATTGTAAATAAAGAAGAGGCCTGTAGTTGGTTGCTTTTACTCTTTTGACTCTTTACTCTTTGGGGGGGGGCCCACCATCCAGCTCCCAAATAATCACACATGGAGACTTACTCTGACTTATGAATACCCAGTCCTTAACTTGGCTTGTGTCTAGCCAGCTTTTCTTAACTTAAATTATCTCAAATACCTTTTGCCTCTGGGCTTTTGATCTTTCTCTATTCTATATACTTTTCTTTACTTCTTACTCCATGGCTTGCTATTTAGCCAGGTGGCTGGCTCCTGGTTTTTCTCTCTCCTCTTCTTTCTTTTGCTCTTTGATCTTCTCCTCCCAGATTTTTGCTCCTATGTATTCTCTCTGCCTGCCAGCCATGCCTATCCTTTCTCCTGCCTAGCTATTGGTTGTTTAGCTCTTTATTAGACCAGTCAGGTGTTTTAGACAGACAAAGTAACATAGCTTCACAGAGTTAAACAAATGCAACAGAAAAGATTGTAACACATCTTTGCATCATTAAATGTTCCACAGCATAAACAAATGTAACATATCTTCAACTAATATTCCTCAACAGAGAACAATTGAGAAGACATCTAATATCAACTTTGGGCCTCCATATATACATGTGGACATGTACTTAAATACACATGTATACCATACACATACAAAAATAGACATTTAACTAAAATAGTTGTAATTTGTAATAAATTACATGAAGGAAATATATTCTAGTTGGTAGATATATTAGTCAAGAATTTATTGAAAAGTCTATACTTGCAAAATAAACTGAGGAATCATTGGTGATATTTAATACTATTGTAATATATGAAATGCCTTAGCAGGGTTGGGGATTTAGCTCAGTGGTAGAAGGCCCTGGGTTCAGTCCTCAGCCCTGGGGAAAAAAAAAAAAAAGAAAGAAATGCCTTAGCAAAGGAAGAGAAAGTTCTAAAATAAAGAAGTTGACAGTAGATCACCTCACACATCACTTTACTTTCAAATTGATTGACACTGCTTCACTCTAATATCCATAAATTCATATTTTCCCCTGTGGAACAAATGGAAATCAAAACTATTGCAAGTTTTGCTGAAGTGATAGCAATATACAATCTGGAACTTTTAAGAAACATACTTAAGTTTACTCTGCTCCCTCAACTTACATCTTCACTTTCTATTTAGTTTTTATTCAGAAAAACATTTTAGAAATTTAGAAATTTAGAAATTTTAGAAATTTAGACTTATAAGTCAAATTTATATTAAGATCTTAGAACATGCCAACTAAAATTCTTTAAGATCTTAGCATGTATGAGTACTTTAACTTAAGTGGTTGAAGAGAGAGTTTTTAAGGTAAATAGTTAAGTCTCTATGCTGGTAAGACAACCCATAGAAGCTTGTAAGTAACATCTGCCATCTGCTGGGGGTGGGGCGGGGAATCTATGCTCTTGAATCAGTTATAAGCAGAGTTTTGTGGTGCAGAGGATTGCTGAATTCCTTTACTCTTTCCCTGGAAGAATCCACATAGGATGATGAGATGGTGCTACATACTGCCTGTAAATAACTGGCAGTCCTCTGGAAGAGACTGATGAAGAAAATGAATCCTCCCTCTTCCCTAATTCACCAGGTCATTTATCCACTATTGTAGTACACACCAGAACAGATATATTTAAATTACTACCCCATGGATCTTGAGTATCACAGAAGATAGAATTGAATCTGTTAATCTTAATGCATACATACCACTTACTTCAATTTATGCGTTTTCATCTTGTAGTATTCTTTTAGGGTTATATTCACAGCTTGCTCTGACATGTAGGAGCCACAGATCAGCAGTCCTAGGGTTCTTACAGTCCTTCGAGCATATCTGTCTGGTTGCTTCACAAGTATATAGAATGATGAATAATATCAGTATTTGATGGTCATTTAATAGATTATACTATTTAAGAGACGTAGTTTGTAATTGTACTAGTTATAATTCTTGTTTTATAGTCATCACAAATTAAGTATTGTACTAGAAAAAGGAATGCAAGTTTGTAAGCATACACTGTATGAATAGGTACATGTGGACTTTTTGAAAAGTAGATTATATCTTTGAAGTTCAAAGGTCAAGTGCAAATAACAGTTAAATTTTCTGAGATTAAAATTACCTCATTTGAAAATAGAAATTAAACATTTGACAGCTTTAGAAGTGAGCAAAAATTAGTTAAGAAATAATTAAAATGAGTTAAGATCCCTATAATCCATGTTAAAAAGTGTTTGTAATATCAGAAGTAGATCCTGGTGAGCTCTAGGTTCAGTGAGACCTTGTCTCAAAAAAAAAAAAAAGTGTAAAGTGATAAAGCAAGATATCCAATGTTGATCTCTGTATGTATAGATAAACACATTTATCCCCATCACACACACACACACACACACACACACACACACATACAAGAATGAAATTTGCAGATCCTTTTTACATTGTGCTTTCATATTAGTTTCAGGTCTCCAAAGAAACAGAAACAAAACAAAAGTATGTGAGTGAAGAGGTAATGTTTGATTTTCCTATGATCCCAGGAAGTAGGACTTTTGAAAAACAAATCTTGGGGACTGGAGAGATATCTCAGTGTTAAGAGCATTTCACACTTCCAGAGGACCTGGAAATTCTCAGCACCCACATGACAGATTATAACTGATTCTAACTCTAGTTCTAGGGAATCCGATGCCCTCTTCTGCCCTCTGCTGGAACCAGGCATTTCTGTGGTGCACAGACAAAACAGTGACACACATAAAATAATTGTTTTTAAAGCAATCTTCTCCTTTAAGGTGTGCATTTTCTTTTTGTAAAATCTTACTTTGTTTTTAACAGTTTATTCTTAGTCAAGAAGATTTAACAACCATCTTTCAAACATTGTATGGCAATATATGGTATGGACGAGATGATTATGCCTCATCTTCTAGAAGTAACAACCATGAGATTGTGACTAGTGGAGCCGCCAGTGTTTCCTGCCATTCGGGAGGTGAGTGTTTAGCCTGTCTGGCTGTTTTCTCTGCTTTTATCTCTTGCCTCTCTGTCCCCCAACTTTTTTCCCTCTAGTTCTTGGTAAAAGAAGACTTAATAATTCTCTAATTAGCTAATCTCACTTGGACAATGATCTGTTTTTAGTTATTCTGCTGATTATGTATTGGATCAATGTTCTTAGTCCCATTGTGACAAAAATTCTTAGGATTCTTGTTTTTCTTCCCTATAAGTCTTTATTTTCAGTTGTATAACTTATATAATATGATGACTTATATATATTGATATTTTAGGAATATCAAAATAGTAGAAGTGTGATAATAGGATCATCATTATAGATGATGAATTTTAACAAAAGTTGGAGAGTTGGATGGATGAAAAATAATAGGGCGAATCATAATGGGACAGAAACTCGTTCCAGTGTTGATGGTAAGGTGCTGTGTGAATGTGACTGGTTCCAACTGCAGCACCAGCACATGGAGAGTGGGCTTAGTTAGGGTGCTAGGGTGATTTTCAGGCTCAAAAATAAACCTCCTTTAATTTTTATAGGCAATTCCAAATCTGACTCTCTTAAAGTGAAATCTGATAATCAACAATGCCTGCTTCTGCAAAGCCTGAAATATTTCAGAGCTTTACTACTCAGAATCCTACACAAAAGTCAGTATAATATGAAACCCCATTCTCACTAGGTAGGATAATCAACCCCATCCTTTATTATTAATTATAAGTGGTTCAAAATGAGGTAAACCAATAGAACACAGGAATGAAAGAAACAAAGATAATCAAAATGTAGATATTGAGTGAAAAAGAGGTGGAACACTGAGTAATAAAAGTAGGCCAACAAATAAAACAGGTATTTATTTTACAAGGACTTGCTAATATTTGAAAATAGTAATTAAATGGATCCTGCCAGTACTGTCAACCTTCCCCTTCCAAAGACAAAAAAGAGTTCTTGGGAAAAAAGTATAAATTACATGATTGCTGATTTTTTAAAAATAACAACACTAACCTTACTGTTAGAATATAAGCATTCAAGACTATGACCTGAAATATTAGCCTATAGTATAAAGAAAGGAAACAATAGAGGTGGAAGTGAAATAAAATTCAGAGTAGTGCTTCAGTTCAGAAGTTCCAGTACCAGTATACTAGGTTTTAATGGTAGAAATAACTGAGACAATGGAAGAAAAACTTGAAAGAAGTAACTAGGTTTAACCCTCCACATTTATAAAGCCTGCTCTCAGCCATAGAGAACACACAGTTTCAAGCAAATTGAGTAAAGTAAGACTCATACATAAACACAATTTCTTAAAACATTAGGCCTAAAACTGCTAGATTTTTAAAATTTCAGAGAAAAACAGGCTACCTGTTATAGACTTATAAAGAACTAGAAGGATAATTGATTTTTGTTATTGTTGCTTTTTCAGTAAACCTGGTGAACTAGGACTGCTGGATTATAAAAGACAGTAGAACAGTATTTCAAATTCTAAACAATGTGATTTTGAAGCTAGGATTCTATTCATGGTCAAATATTACTCCCAAATGTAGAAACAACATAATTCTGTTTTAGTAACTCATAGTTTAGTCAAACCCTTTCTGATCCTCTCCTAAAGAAATTATTCTAAAAATATATTCCAGCAAGATAAATTAAGAATCAGGAAAGAAGAAACTATGATATCAAACAACAGTAGTAACCCAAAAGTAGCACACTTAATAGGGATCCCAAAATTGTCCATATGATTAGGCTAGAAAGTCAATTTCTTTGAAAAGGAATTCACAGTGCTTTATGGTTTTTGTCTTATTGTGTTGGGTTATTACATTCACCTCACTCAGAATGCTTGGGTGGTGGGGATTAAGTGGAATAATGTCTTCAGAAAAAGAGACTCAGAGTGTTGCTTAGTGATAGACTGCATACTTAGCATACACAAGACCCTGACTTTGATCCCTAATAATGCAAAAAGGAAGAGCAGGAAAAAAGATAGATTTCATAAACTATGTATAAAAAAAAGCAACTTCGTATGTACATGATAGAGTAAAATAGCTTCTGTTCTTAAATATCTGCTGTAATGTGGTATAGTGTGAAGTACACTAAAGTTTACATGATTTAGTATTAAATTATTCACATGCCAAATAAGAGAACCTATTTGTATTGGAGAGATCTTAGTGAAGTTAGCAGAGGCAGTAGTATAATGAACTGTGACATAAGAACTGCAAAATCACTTGATTGAAAACACACTGATTGATAGTACATGAAGAACTATGCATGGCAAACCCTTTGTAGATGGCCTCCTCTGGACAAAGGATCTCCTGTTTCCTGGAGCTGCTTTCTTGTCCCTGTCTGCTGAAAGTCACACAAGAGTGTGGGGAATGACAGAGAAAGACAGTAAATTTGAGTAAATAAGAAAATAATTATCACTAACTAGATCAAATAGGTGAAAAATGACAAAATTCTTAAATAGTTTTTAAGGGAACACAGGTGGTATAGTGGATAGATGCTTGCCAAGAAAGCCCAGAAATCTGAGTTGACCCAAGTTCAGTGCACAGAAACTAACATGTGCCCCATATATACAATAATGCCCAAAAAAGTAGTTTTTATTGGAAAGTCTAATAAAATTGATAGTCCCTCAAGCAAGACTGGTTAAATGAGAGAGCACAAATTCTTAATATCAATTTTCAATAGAGTATTATAGACCACAATCAGGAGAATGAGTAAATATGAATAGATGATATGAAGAACTTTTTGAAACATAGATGAAATGTAGAAATGAAAAGAAAAGGGCTGGAGGGGTGGCTCATTTGACTAAGAGCAATGGCTGCTCTTCCAGAGGATCTGAGTTCAATTCCCAGAACCCACATGACAACTCAAAATTCTGTAATTCCAGTTCCGGGGAAACTAATTCCTTCCTCTTGCTCCCATGTGTACTGCATGTACATTGTACACAGACATATAGGCACAGCACTCATGCACATAATATATAACTAAAATAGATCTTTTAAAGTATTTTATTAAATTATTTAGTTGATAATGTATATTTCATTTTATATAAGTTTATCTAAGTTAATATAAATTACCTGACATAGTGGTACTTTTGTCTGGAGTTAGCTTAAGTGAGAACAAAGAATTGTTGTGTTTGTATTATAAGCCTAATTAAGATATACATGTGTATAGATTTTTTTATTTAAAATATAAATGTATAGAAAATACATATAATAAATAAAATTCAAATAAAAATTTGAATCACAGTTTGAGCAAGTTTTAAAATGGCATCTAAAATACATTGTTTTATCTTAGTTTCTTTAAAGAAAAATTTGAATATAAACTGTTAGATGTTGTGTGTTTGTGTTCATTTTATACATTATTTAATCTCTGAAATTATCTCCATGTTCATGATACTAATATGAAAGTAGGATTATAATCTCCAAGAGGGAACAGAAACTCTGAGTGTTTAATTCTTTCTCTCCAGTTATGGAAGAATGTTAATCCAGACTTCCATGTCTGAATTTTTTAAGCTTTTGAATTTTCTTGACTATCATTTTAGTGTACTCTTGTAATTAACAATTTGGTATATCTCATGGGTCCTTTAACTACCTGCTCTTATAATTGTTTTCTCTTATTCCTCACCTTTAATTCTATAGCAGCTACTATGGTGACAGCTGCTGTGGTGGAGGTACACCCACAGGCTTCTCAAGCTAATACGACAATTAACGTGAGTTTCAGAACTGATTATCTCACTATGGCACTTTACAGTCCAGGGCCTGAACAGGTAAGTTGAAGAAGAGAAACTATGTCTATATTTGAAGGGAAACTATGTAAATAAAAAAGTATATATAACTGTTAAATAATAGTTTTAATATTTTGTGTGTATTTTATAGTGTATGTTCTTCTGAAAAAAGATTGATATTTTCAGTAATTTCTTCATACACTTTCATTTTTAAATGAGTTATCTTTCATATAGCAAAAAAATATTAAAAACAAAATTTGAAAGTAGTACATATTTTTTTTTGGCCTTTTATTTAGATATCCTGTAGCTAGAGTTTTCCTGCCTGTCCCACAGTCAGGACAAATCTCTGTCACCTCTGTCACTTGCCAGTCCCACAGCCGCTCAGACCCAACCAACAAAACACAGAGACTTACATTGCTTACAAACTGTATGGCCGTGCCAGGCTTCTTGCTAACTGTTCTTATATCTTAAATTAATCCATTTCTATAAATCTGTACCTTGCCACGTGGCTCATGGCTTACCAATATCTTCACATGCTGCTTGTCATGGCGGCGGCTGGCAGTGTCTCTCCCTGCCTTCCTGTTCTCTCAATTCTCCTCTCTGTTAGTCCTGCCTATACTTACTGTCTGGCTACTGGCCAATCAGTGATTTATTTATTGACCAATCAGCAACACATTTGACATACAGACCATCCCACAGCAATATCTCTTTGAAAATAGAGAATTTGGGGCTTACAGTGTTGAGCAGTAAAGTCTGGTTAGTGTACACAAGGCCATGCACAGGGTTCAGAACCTGGCATCCAGAAAAGAATAAAGAGAGAAGGGTCAGGTATGGTGGCACACACATTTAATCTCAGTATTGGAAGGGAGAAGCAGGCAGGTTCATGAGAGTTCATGGGTAGCATGGACTGTAAAGGAAGTACCAGGACAGCAGGGCTATACAGGTGACTCAGCAACCAAAAAAAAAAAAAACACATAATAGTTAAAAGAGAAACAAAATAGAAAATTTGATGTTTCATGTAAGCCAATGTCATAACTTGTAGATAGTCATATCACAAAGTATACTTTAATCCTATGCTTCTGTGTAATTTCTATGTGGATTTCTTTTCCACAGGCCTTCTTTACAGATGTCCGTGATCCTTCTCTAAAACTTGCTGAATTTAAATTGGAGAATATTATAAGTAGTTTAAAATTGTATACAGATGGCTCTACATTTTCTTCTTTCTCATTAAAAAACTGTATTTTAGATGATAAAAGGCCTCATGTCATGAAAGCCACTCCTAGGTATGTATTGCCATAATTTTGAGCTATTGAGGAAAGATTGCTTCATTATTATAGATCTTATACTCAAAATTGCCTTTATTCTATGTGTATTCATGAGAGGTCTTGAGTACTTCAGTTCAGTACATCATGGTATCTGTTCATGTTTGAAATGTTGATGGATTTATTAAATACATAGAAATAAATAGTGCAATTAGATGGGACATGTATGAATTTGAGTAGAGTATATAAACTGATATTCAGAACTTTCATAATTTCTTAGACATAGATTCCCCCATTGTTAAACAGTTATATGGTAGAAGTTTTATAAGTTCATTTTTTCCAAGAGACGTGCTCTCAGAGTATTTGTTTGCTGTCAGTAAAAGGATAGACAGGTCTTTAAGCTTTATTGGTATGTTTGGTTATTTTCAAGTTACCCATACATACAAATTGTCATTATGTTTTTCAGAATGATAGGACTGACACTTGGGTTTGACAAAAAGGACATGGTGGATGTAAAGTATAGAAGCATCAGAGATACTTCTGTGACTGATGTAGTTGTCCAAGAGATGTATGTTTGTGCAAGTGTGGAGTTTCTGATGACAGTTGCACATGTCTTTTTTGATGCCTACACAACTAGTACGGCTTTAGAAACCAGTGTTCAAACATGGACTACTAAAGAAGGTTAGTTACCAAATAACAACTTTAATGTCTTACTGCTGCAACTATAGTTACCCTAATTAGTCTTTTCAATGTTCAGGGTAACATTAATAAATTAAAAGTCTATACTTGTGTATGTATGTAAATAATACATAAAAATTAATACTAATGAAATAGTATTTTTATATATAGTTTTTTGTTGTTGTTGTTGTTTTTGCCTGAGACAGGGTTTCTCTGTGTGGCTTTGGCTGTTCTGGATCTCTCTCTATGGACCAGGCAAGCATTGAACTCAGAGATTCACCTTCCTCAGCTAGGGGAGTGCTAGGATTAAAGGCATGCAGTATCACTGCCTGGCTATAGTTTGTAGTGTTTTGATTTTCTATTTTTGAGACAGGGTCTCATGTCATGTAGTTCTTGCTGACCTCAAAATCACTTGAGACGCTGAGGAACTCCTAATCCTCCTGCCTATGTCCTCCTCACTGCTGGGATGAGCAACACGTGCCATTCTGCCTGGCCTTCATTGTTGGAAGGTGTGTTTATGGGATTTGAAATTATGAGACTTGAGTAATTGTTCTCTTCAATCAGTAACAAGCAGGAGAGATAATGAACCAACTGTTCTTTACATTAAACATGGTGTTTTAGTTTAAAGTACTCATTAACTTTTATATTCACTTCTAGATTTTAATGTGTAGTTTTTCTGTTATCTTTTACATATTGATTATGATATAGTTGAAAGAGTGTGGAGAGTTGGAAATTGATTTAGAGCCAGTTCTACCATTAAACAGTAGACTTTTCCCCATACTCTGATTCATATTTCTATAAGTAAATGGAGGTTTGATGGTGGAGCGTGTGTATAGCATATACAAAGGTAGTTTTATTTCCATCCCTGAGGGGAGGGAGGTAGATATTGCCTATCTCAAAAGAAATACATAATGAATGTCTTTGGAATAGATGATTTTTTTAAGTTTATATTTCACTCTGAATGAATAAAGTAGCTATTCTCCTTAACTCTTCATAAGTAATATGTGTAATTAATATGTATGTATTTATTTCTATTTTAGCACCTGTACAGGATTTAGGGAAGTGGGAAATTAATATTCTTATAAAAAACCCTGAGATTGTGTTTGTGGCTGACATGACAAGAAATGATGCTCCTGCCTTAGTCATTACAACACAGTGTGAAATTTGCTGTAAAGGGGACCCTGAAAGCAATACAGTGACTGCTGCCATTAAAGATCTCCAAGTCAGAGCATGCCCATTTCTTCCAGTCAAGAGAAAGGGCAAAATCACCACTGTGAGTTCATTGTCTAATTCAATTGCCCCTCCCCAAAAAAACTTACATAAAGAACTTGGTATAGGGAAGTTCAGGGAGAATGAACTCCTTGGCAGAAAACTTGCAGTTTATATTTTTCTTTTGTTACAAGTGGAACTTGTGGCATACTTCTCATATATATAGTTTAGGGAAATTGCCAAGTTGCCTGGTTTCTTGCTGTGAACAGTAAAATGCTTGGGAGCGGGGGTGGGATGGGGAGAGGCTGGGGGAGGGGTTAAACAGAAAAAAAACAGGAGTTAATGCATTTGATAGTTCTCAGCCTTTTCAAGTTGCAAAAACATCTGAAAATCATTAGAGATAATAGTGTAGAGAAATGACTATATGACCTGTGCAGTCTTGCTAAAAATTCCCAAATATGAAATGATCAATAATATTCAGTCATACAGAAGATGCTTTCACAATATTAGGAGTGTGTTGTTAAAGGTGATGTGGAAATAAAAGAAAGTGGACAGGCATCTTCAAAAGCAAATTGTTCTTTATTCAGAACAACTGAAGGGTCACAATCTCTCTGTTTGAGTAGAGACTGTGGACATGTATCATGGTGTGTATTGGTGGGAGGGAAGCTTGGATATTTTATAGGGTGGAATGAGTGTTTTGGGGCGGGAAGATTCCATCTGCAGGTCATCTCAGACTGGTAGATACCACTCAAGGTACGTTGATCCTCCTATCAGAAATGCCCCAGAACCTAACAACCTACGGGTATTATTGGTCAACTTTCCTGTCCTGAATTTCTATGGCATTAAAATCTTATAGAAGCATAAGATGTTACCCTTACTTAGTTTAGCATAATCTCAAAAAGATAGTGGATGTGACTTTTGAAATGGAGTAAATCTTCGTGGAATACACAGAAGGCCTTAAGATTCCTGTTAAAATTATCAGAAGCACCTTCAACAGATAGGAGATGAGGCTACAAAATTGAAGAGAGACTCTTGAGTTTTCAGGATTTCATGGGAAGTAGGGTGTAAGTTTGCCTTACCTCTTAATAGGAGAGGGTAGAACAGAGAGATGCAAAGAATTATTCCTAGGATTAGAAGTTAAATCAAGAAATTTGTTTGCTAGGCTTGATTTAAGAGTTGCTTTGAGCTGAACTATCTGTAACTATTGTTCTGTGTACCTTTCCACCATTGTTTGTTGCCAATAGTTGGGGCAGATTACCCATCCTTAGTCTTACAACTCCATAGAGAAAAGCTTCTCCCCCAAAGCCACTCCTATACTTATATCTTATCAACATGTATACCTATTTTTAGACTTTAAATTGGTAAAAGATAATTGAGATTTTTGCATTTAGAATAATGCAAAGTATAGATGGAGATATATAATGAGATATCATTAGTTATGTGAAGAGATTTTTGGGCTTGTATGTGTTAGAATGAGATCCTTAGGTATTGCCGCCTGGTGATCCAGCACAGGGCTGAAAAGGAATCCATGGCATTGGTGTAAACTAAGACTTCTCTATCTGAGGGGCTTATGGAAAAGACACACGCTCTCTTGATGGTTTTCTTCTTTATTCTCTTGTTCTCTGTTCTCTTCTCCTGCTACAGCTTATACACCCTAATAAAATCTTTCAGGCAATACCGAGATCACAATGAGGTTAGATTCTATTTTTCAAGTGAATGATTATATGTGAAAACATGTTTTTCATCTCCCTTACATTACTAAAAAGAGTCATCCTTACAACCCACATACAGTATGTTTCAGTAACTTGTCACAGGTTAATAAAACATGAGCACGCAAGGAACATTTTTTTTCTCAGCCAATTCTTTCGTTAGCAGGCTGCAAATTGCAGTTACAAAGAAATAAGCACTCTATTATCTATCTTGAAAGGTAATCTTATAAGGAATCTTAAGGGAGTCACAAGCCTAAACTTTTATACATAAAAAAACAGTCAGCTGAACTTTGAATGTTTAGGGTATGTACCCATTCATCAATAGTTTCTTGTATCAGAAAATTGAGGTCAGGAATGGTTACAAAGAATTAATCATCACCTTTGATCATCAACCAGACCTAGCAAAGAAGATATATCAGCTATCAACAAATGGCTGCTTTGTATTTTCTACCTTGGCCTCATGTCTTAGATAGCTCAACTATGTGTCATTGTGAACTTTGTATTACTTTCTGGGGTTATTTATCTTAAAACTATTAGCAAAGCATCTGGTCTAACCTGAAGTTAGTTTGAAGCTTTGTTTCAGCTAATGGTGCACACTGAAACCTGTGACTGCATCTTTTCAGCATAAAGAGAATTAGAGCCAGCCTGGCTCTTGGGGATTCAGTTGTTTTCTTTAATCATTAACCTGAGCTGCAATCTAAAGAAGCTCCTTAGGTGGAATTCATATGCCTAAGCTGTGAAACATTTTCTTATATTTATTTTTATTCATCAAAACTCTGTATAAGCTATCATTATTATTATTATTATTATTATTATCATCAATTAGACAGTACAATTTAGGGAGGAATCATCTTCATGACAGTCCACAGATAAAAATGCCCAGTAGAACAGGATGTTTCCATGAGATTAAACACTACATTACAGGCAGATTTCACCACACCCATTCACACCATGCCAAGTACCAGAGAGAGATAGCTGGAGCAAACAGGTAAAGGCATAGCAAAAGCAAAAGACATTCTGGGGTCTGTAGTCCTGTGGCCTTGACCCATCAGAGAGTTTCCTCCTGGTGGACTGACACCTTGATCTTGAATTGCCACCTGTTGCTCCTCTGATGTGGCCACCAGCACTTAGGAAATTTTGGACATGGTGAAATATCAATGGGAGAGAAGTGACTATCAAGAGTCTAGTGGTTACAGTTCTTCTTGCCATCATTAGGAAAAAGTTCATTTATAATCTAAATTTTTTCAGAGATTATTGATACCTATTATGTTTCTTAGTGTCTTACAGTTTTAGCTTTGCCTATAAGATTGGCCTCTTCACATCTATTTTACTGTTGAATAAATAGTATGATAGACTTTTGGTAAGTAAAATAAATGACATAGCAAGAGCTTCATATGTTTTTTAAATATTTAAGCATTTTTTTTAATGTTAGGGTGTGTGTGTAATTCTTTCTATCGACATGTGATAACGTGCTACCTAAGGACCCTGCCAGTAAAAGCATGCCAGAATTATGTCCTTAAAGCTCTAAAATTCTTTTTTGTTTGTTTGTTTGTTTTTTTAAGACAGAGTTTCTCTGAGTAGCTTTGGAGCCTGTCCTAGAACTCAGTTTGTAGACCAGACTGGCCTCAAACTCACAGATATTCGCCTGCCTCTGCCTCCTGAGTGCTAGGATTAAAGGCGTGCACCACCACCACCCAGCAAAGCTTTAAAATTCTTAAAGAATCAAGTGATGTTTCATGGGAATTGTCAACATACTAAAAAACAAACAGTTTTTTGAGACTCTACAGCTCTCAAAAGGAATAAGAGATAGTTTATTCTAGATCCATTTTGAGTGACCAGGGCCTGGGAACCCAGATTTAGGTTATCCCAAATTTCATGTTCTAACATGGAAGCAATTTCATGGTTTTTACAAAACGAAGTCATAAATCAAGGCTAGTTTAAAATGCATTGGTGGTTACATCAGAGAGGTGGTTACAAGATGGGGGAAGCTTTTCTATAGGCCCAAGATGTTTCTGATGAAATACTTAGCTTTTGGGTGAGTGGAAGCTTGTGGTCTTTTATGTTAATAGGTTCCAAAAGGTTCTTTAATATTTACAGGATGTTAGTTCAAACACAGAGATGGGTAAGGAATGGCTGTTGTGGAGGGCTAGAATTAGCCCAAGATAAGGTAATTACCCTCTGGTCTGCAATATTCCAATCCCTCCACAGTACTGAAATTCTAATCAATCCATTAGTCTCTGCAGACACAACTCCTTTTCTGGAATTTTCATTCACAGAATATATATACATATATTCCTGCTGATATTAGCCACATTGCTCCTCAGGGTTTTGAATGTTCTTACCAATGTTCCCCATGATTTATTAAACTTAGTACATGTCAGATAAAGCCCTAAGTTTACTTAGTAAACTTTCAGAAGGAAATAAGTTGTACTTCTTATTTTACTGGCATGAGGACCAGTAAAATAAAATGAAGATGCTGTGCTGTTTAGGTGGTGGAACTGAATCCTTAAAAATTAAATATAGGGAAAATTCTGCATTTGGCTTAGGGGAGCATAACTTGGAGATACCTAGGGTCAGCAACCTAGGATAGTCATAGCTGAGCAGTCCATTCGTAGTATTTCTCCTGGAATTACAGTAAAGACTATACCTTGGGTAGGGTCTTCTGCGATGTCACTGCACCAAAGGATCTGCCTCTGAACTCATTTGCTTGAGCTATTGGTAGGGAGGCTCCTTATTACCCCAGGTTCTCCCTAGACCTGCTTATAAAATAGTTTCTTCTAGTCCAGAGTAAATGACCAAAAAGATGTTCTCATCAGTGTTGGGAACTACACTAACTTTGAGAATTGAAGTAATAGCAGCATTGACATAATGCACAGATCATTGGGAGCTGTGTGATAGATTGCCACTGTACACTGCAAAACCTCCATATCATTAGTATGTGCCAGTAGTCTGAGATTAAAAATGCTAGAGATCAATTGATCCCAAATGATACTTGTATGACTAGCTTCTATGCTCATGCCCAACATTTGTAAGTACTTTACCATTCCTACAGATCCCAGGTGTTTACTGTGAAGTTCATAGACTTCTTCAAATAAATATCAGAATTGGGGTGTGGGAGATGAATGCTTCTTTTTGCATTTTCATGTTAATATTTTTGCTAGTATTTTTGTTCATACCTTATTTTTATAATAAATAATAGTATGTTAATTCACTTTTTATATAGGTATGATTGTTCACTTTTTAATATAATTATTACTCAGAAAGACTTTAAGCAGAAATATTTTAACTTAAATATTAATTTAATAATTATTTTTATTTTATAGGTTTTGCAGCCTTGTGACTTGTTTTATCAGGCTACTCAGATAGGAACAGATCCACAAATGATTGACATTTCAGTAAAATCTCTTACACTAAAGGTAAGTTAAAACATAAACATGTAAAATTGATTTGGTGGTAGGTCAAGAAGCTAAAGTATAAGAATCATGCCGGGCGGTGGTGGCGCATGCCTTTAATCCCAGCACTCGGGAGGCAGAGGCAGGTGGATCTTCGTGAGTTCGAGGCCAGCCTGGTCTACAGAGCGAGATCCAGGAAAAGGTGCAGAGCTACACAGAGAAACCCTGTCTCAAAAAAACAAAAAAAAAGAATCGTAAGTTCTAGGCCTGCCTGAGCACTGAGGTTTAAGCCATCCTTGGCAATCTAGTGAGACCCTGTCTAACAGTCACCATTACCACCAGAAAAAGGACTGGGCTCATAGGTGAAGCACTTGTGCAGCATTCACAGGCCCCAGGTTAGACCCCTGTCTCACCAAATGAATAAATACTTTTTGGAAATATATATATCAAGTTTGTAAGATATTATTGTAAATTTTATGATGAATGCTATATTTTATTGACATGACTTTTGTAGTTGATATCTAGTATACATATAATTGTAGTCATATTTAATTGGTTTAATAGTAACAAGATTTACAAATATTTTAACAAACTTATCTAAAAATTTTTGTAGTAGAAAATTATATTATCCTGTAGTACCTTTCTAGTTTAGCCTTAATTCATGTTCATTCAACAAATGTATGTAATCCATTTTTAAATTGTTTTCTCCATTTAGGTTTCACCAGTTATCATAAATACCATAATAACTGTTACTTCTGCACTTTATACAACTAAGGAAAGCATCCCAGAAGAAAACACTTCTTCTATAACACATTTATGGGACAAGAAGGATACTAAGAATCTGAAAATGTGGTTTCTTGAAGAATCAAATGAAACAGAAAAAGTAGCTCCCACAAATGAATTGATGCCGGGAGGAGAGACACTGACCTTGAATGTTGATTCTATTTTTATAGTTCTTGAAGCTGGAGTTGGTCATAGAACAGTGCCGATGCTATTGGCAAAGGCACGCTTGTTTGGGGAAAGCAAAAACTGGAGGACTTTAATAAACCTCTATTGTCAGCTTGAACTGGAAGTAAGTGTGTACATAATTTTTCAGGGCTTATAATCCTTTACATAGAATATTCTGGGATCTTATATCACTACTTAAATTGAATTTATTGTAAATAATGATACTGGCTTTAAACCTTTTAGAAGAAAGCTTACACATTTATGCCCTTGAGAGGTTGCCTATATATTACTTTAAATTTCAAATTACATATTCATACTTTATATTTCAACTGATTTTCCTAAGCTTCAGAGGTGGTGCATTAGGTTCTAGAGAGACATCCCAGTAATTAGGAGCTTCTTGCTCTTTCAGAGACAAAGTCTGATTCCCAGTGTCCATATCAGGCAGCTCACAACCGCCTGTTACTCTGCCCTTGCCACCTCTGGGGGAATCTAAAATCCTCTTTGGGCACAGGCACATATATGGCAGACATACACACAAACATACATTTGTACATATAAATAAAAATAAAATCTTTTTTAAAGTGATATATTAATAGATAGTTGTTAAGATTAAAACTTCTGATTCTTAAGAACTAAAATTGAATTATTTTTGTGGTGATATTTTATTTGTGCTCTAACAAATAAAACTTATCTGGGGATCACAGGAGAGAGCTAGCCACTAGATTAGACATAGGGGCCAGACAATGGTGGAATACACGCCTTTAGTCCTATCACTGGGGAGGAAGAGATCTGTCTGGGTCTCAGTGAGTTCAAGGCCGCTGGGAACAGAGCCAGGTGTAGTGGCACACGCCTTTAATACCAGCACTTGAGATCCCTTGTCTTTGATTGGAAAGGACACAACACCTTTAATCCCAGGAAGTGATGGCAAGAAGCAGAAAGGTATATAAGGCATGAGGACCAGGAACTAGAGGCTTATTAGCAGCAGTTCACCTGAGACACTCAGGGATGAGGCTTTCAGTCTGAGAATTGTGGAAACAGAATTGGCAGAGGAGTTGGCAAGGTGAGGTTGACTGTCGCTTGTTCTGTTTCTCTGATCTCTCAGTTTTCACCCCAATATCTGGCTCTGGGTTTTTTGTTTGTTTGTTTGTTTGTTTGTTTGTTTAAATAATAAGACCTTTTAGCAATTCATGTTACATTTTTTTTCTTTGAATATATAGATTAAATTTATGAACATGGGTAAGCTCTTTCAATTTTTAAAGACTAAGGATATACTTGAAGTTTAGAGTGGTTGCTTAGCATGTGTGAGATATTGGACTCTAATCCTGAACCCTCCAAAAATTTTCAAAGAGAAAAAAGAATCAGAGTAAACATGTTTTACCTCAGAATTTATAAAATTAGTTTAATGAATATTTCAGATAAAATTAATTTAAGAAAGAGGCTCAGAATATGTTAGAAGTAGGATGTATACATAATATGTGTGTAGCACTAATTTTAGTACCAGCACTGCAGAAACAGAAAAATTATATACAATCATCTCCAGTGATATTTAAAATTATTGTACTTAATATTTTTTGAAAAGCAGTCTGGTAGTCTACCTTATAAAAGTGAGGGTGAGACTTTTAAAAGCTTCTGTTTTTACATGAAATGATACAGAATTATGTACTAACACAATTGTAATTGATTATGACTCCACTGCAGATTTTCAAATTGTGTTTAGAATTATGTATATTTTGTAGAGGACTTTATCTGGGCTATCCAAGAGGTACAAGACATTCAAACACTGAAATCATGTACAATGTAGGAAAGTTCACCATGATACCACCAACACACTGCACTTTGAATCTTGTGGTACCCTCCATGAAGAGATTTTAGTCAGTGATGGTAGATTGGCAAGTTTTCAAGTGTCAGCAATATGTGATAGATGAATGTAGGATTTGCTGCTTGATCCAGGAGAGAGATCAAGGAAAGGTGCTTTAGAAAGAGTTCTAGGGTCTGCAGGAAGGCTCAGTGGGGAAAGGTGCTTACCACCATGCCTGACAACCAGAGTTTAATTCTCAGGACCCATGTGGTGGAAAAAGAAAGAACTGACTCATGCAAGTGTCCTCTGACTCATGCAAGTGTCCTCTGATTGAAATATGTGTATACATGAGTAAATAAATATATAAAGGGGATTCTCTTGTATTAAAATGTGAAGGTAGAATTTGGTCTCTAAGCCGGTGAAGAAAGTATGTAAGGAGTATATATAGAAAACTATTAATTGACATGTAGAATAGTTCTTATATAGAAGAAATAGCACAGTCAAAAGGCATGGTGGTAAGAGGTATCATTTAAAAAGTCATTTTAGATAGTATAATGCTTTATTTAAAAAACTAAAAATTCTCTTTTTAGGTTCACTATTATAATGAAATGTTTGGTGTTTGGGAACCTTTACTGGAACCCTTAGAAATTGATCAGACTGACGATTTTAAACCATGGAATCTTGGAATCAAGGTACGTATGTGTGTGTTATTTTCTTAAAGCAGTTTCGGCCTTACAGAAAAATTGATGAAGTGTAATTTCCCCATATACCCTCTGCTTCTGTGTATATATGTAAAACTTCATTAACAACATCCTCAATCAAAGTATATTTGAAGTGTATTTGAAAAGGAGTTTAGAAGAAAAAGGTTTTCAAAATTTTTGAGGATATTCATATTACATTATACACTTTAACTTATTTATTTATTTGTATGTGTGTGATTATTTTGCCTGCATGTATGTCTATGCACCATATACCTGCCTGGTGTCCACAGAAGCTAGAAGAGGACATCAGATCCCCTGGCACTGGAGTCACAAGCCATTATGAGCCACCATGTGGATGCTGAGAGTCATACTCAGGTCCTCTTCAAGATAGCAAGTGCTCTTAAATGCTGAGCCATGGCTCCAGCCTCATATAATACCAGAAATATAATAAGACTTCCTCTACAGTAAAAGTAAAAATCGTGACCTGCAGACTGAACATCAGAAATCCCAATATTAACTGTTACCTTACACTGTGACAATGTTCTTTGAGGTTGTGGCCAGTCACAAGTTCCTTTGTTCTGTAAATGGACTTCCTCCCTCCCTCCTCCCCTCCCTCCCTTCCTCTTTTTTCACACCTTCCTACTTCCCCCTTCCCTCCCTTATCTTCTCTTTCCTTCCTCTCTACTATTTCATCCTCTCTGTAATCTCTTGAAGATTGTGTGTTATTTGCTCTGAACATATTATGAATTTATGTAATCCTGAGAATCAGTGCCTTTAAATTGGCAAAATTGTGCTTGTGAAGCAAGGAATTATCTAAGTTACAGCATGTTTCCTACCTAATGATAGACTCAACTTGTAAACTTATAGACAAATTTTTCAGGGCCTTAAAATAAGGTAAAATATCTCTGAGTTTGAGGCCAGCCTGGTCTACAGAACGAGTTCCAGGATAAACAGAGCTACATTAAAAAAAAAAAAAAAAACCTTATCTTGAAAAACCAAAAAAAAGAAGATAAAATAACAGCTAAATGACTAGCTTGTCTACTGTATTATATTTAAATATTTTAATTTAATTATTTAGGTTGTATCAGATGAAGGATTTGAATAAAGTAGTTTTACTGGTAGTTTTTAGATTCGACTATACCTGGGCAGTGAGTCTCTGAATGCTGGAAAGAAGTAAATAGTGCTTATTCTTTCTTTTTTTTTTTTTTTGGTTTTTCAAGACAGGGTTTCTCTGTGTAGCTTTGCACCTTTTCCTGGAACTCACTTGGTAGCCCAGGCTGTCCTCGAACTCACAGAGATCCGCCTGGCTCTGCCTCCCGAGTGCTGGGATTAAAGGCGTGCGCCACCACCGCCCGGCAAATAGTACTTATTCTTACAAACTCCCACTTCACAGCATTGTTCTGCCACTTTTATCTGACGTTTTTTAGTACCTAGTTCTCTTTCTGTTAACATGACCAATATTTTAAACGACTTTTCTTGACTAATTTGTTTGGAAGTATATGCTTTTGATTTATCTGCAGATTCCATATATACTTAGTAATTTTCAAAGTTTTTCTTTCTTCTAATTATCGAAGAGGATAGAATGTGTTTCCCTTTAGTATTTCCTCCTCTCAGCTTTGTGACATTACTTGGCATGTCCAGGATATTTCATTGGGCAATATAGCTCTCTACATGGACTTCATAGCTCTCTGCAGCAGGTGGTGTGACCATGGAATTCATAGCTCGCTCGCTCTCTAATGGTGTTTGTTTTTACTTTGCAGACAAATTATGTTATATTCCTAAAAACAAATTCGTTTTATCGTTTTAGATGAAAAAGAAAGCAAAACAGTCCATTGTTGAGTCAGATAGTGAAGAAGAAAACTACAAAGTACCAGAATACAAAACTGCCATAATTTTTTATTCTAAGGACCAATTAAACATTACACTATCCAAATGTGGCCTTGTGATGTTAAATAATTTAGTCGAGGTAAGAAAAGGCAATATTTTACGTTAATACTTAAATGACTAAAGTTGTTGTTGATCTAGTTACTTTTCTAGAACACTATACTGTTCTTTTCATTTCCTTGGTCCACATTTCATTTACTCAAAATTTTCCCTATTAGGCATTTACGGAAGCTGCTACTGGATCTTCAGCTGTCTTCCTAAGAGATCTAGCACCGTTTATGATTTTAAATTCTCTTGGACTTACTGTCTCTGTTTTACCAAGTGATTCTTTTAATGTACTCAATGTTCCTATGGCAAAATCATATGAACTGAAAAATGAAGAGAGTTTAAGTATGGATTATGTACGAACTAAGGACAGTGATCATTTCAATGCAATGACCAGCCTAAGCAGCAAACTCTTCTTCATTCTCCTTAGTAAGTGATACATTTCCTTTCCAAGGCTTTGAGAAGTTGTTTTGTAAAAGTAGTCTTACTCATTTGTCGTACCTTAACAGCTTTTTTTTTTAAAAAAAAAAAACAGGTTTTCTAATACAGTGGGGACTATATTAATTACTATCTTATTACTAAGATAAAACACTATGACCAAGGCAACTTGTAGAAGAAAGAGTTTGTTTGGGCTTATGGTTCCAGAGGGTTAGAGTCTATGAAGGGCAGAGTAGAGACAGCAGGTATGGTAGTTTGAATAGCAAGGACAGCACTCACACCCTGAACTGCAAGCAAGAAGTAGAGAACAAAATGAGAATGGTGGGAGGCTTTGAAACCTCAAAGCCCACGCCCAGTGATGCACTTTTTCCAAAAGGCCATACCTAATCCTTCCCAAACGGCTCTGCCAGCTGGGGACCAAATATTCAGATGCTAGACTCTATGGAGGGGAGAGTCTCATTCAAGCCAACATGGAAACAGTGTTTTCCTCTCCAGTATGTTGATTTCTTTGGTCACTAAATCTTGATATTCTAATTTCTGACTTCACTTGTCCAGAGCATGGTATTATTAGAACTTGGAGTAAGAATGAAAAATACTAGATCTCACTCAGCTTTTCTATATCAGTGATAGGTGTGTCAAATGTTCTAACCATGTTTGGTATGACTAAATAATAGATTTTACAAGTGTTTTTAGGTGAGTGAATTTTTAAAAGTTTGAATTAATGCAGATGTTAATATTTCTGTTTTTATATTTGTAATTTTTTAAGATTTATATGTACAAATGTTTGGCTTTTTGAATGTATGCCTGGAGCTGGAGTTATGGATGATTGTGAGCTACCATTTCAGTGTTGGGAATTGAACCCAAATCTTGTAACTACTGAGCCTTCTCTCTAGCCCCTTGTAAATTGTTTTTAACATTATGTGTTAAGTCATTTCTGCTTTCCACAAGTTTTTCCTTTTTATTGGAGGTAAAGGACAGTATATAATTTCTTTAATTGTCATAAAACCTTGTTTTCTTACACATATTCACTGGTATTTCATTCAGATCTTGAGGGCAGTATTTGAATGGGTACTGTCTGAAAGGCTAACTAAACACAGAAGGCTACTAATACATTAGTAGTTATTCTCATCATGAAGTAATATTTAGTGGATGGTTGTTATCAGGACATTATCTATGATGTGTTTTTACTACTCTTACTCATTGTGAGAATTTAGACTGGGAAGCAAATTTATGTAAATTAAGTAATTTTACTCCTAATATGATATATTCATGTTTGGTGAGTGTATGTGAAATTTTCTTTAATCAAATCTAAGTTGCATCTTAAAAGTGACATGGAGAGTTAGAAAATTAAAAGTGGAAACCTATACTCAACTCACCTTGGTAGCTCCAGTGGTTATTGTGACAGCAAACTACTAATCAATACTCTTGAATTTTATAATCATTCCTCTCATTACTGTTTGCTTTCTTAATTGTGATGGTTTTAGGTTAAACTCCTAAGTGAAAAAATTTTTCAGTTGTGTTTTTGATAAAATGTTTTGAAGGATTTAGGTGAATAATATCCTGTAATATTGATTATATTCAAAGACTTTTTTCATTTAGAAAATAATCATCTAGTATTTAACATAAATTTAAAATTATTATGCAGTGAATTCTAATTAATCGGGACCATATGTATTTGATTTAGCACCTGATAACCACTCTACTGCTGACAAGATCCCTTTAACAAAAGTAGGACGGCGCCTGTACACAGTGAGACACAGAGAGTCTGGAGTTGAAAGATCTATTGTTTGTCAAATTGACACATTTGAAGGAAGTAAGAAGGTAACAATCCGCTCACCAGTGCAGGTATGAAGTAAGGAAATGGGTAGAAGCTCTCTATGCAGACATTTGAAGTAGGCCAGGGATGTGGCTCAGTTGGTAGAATACCTGCCTTGGGTGTGGGAAGCCCTGAGTTGATCCCTAGCACCACATACCTTATATATGGTAGCATACCTTTAATCTCAGCACTCAGGAGATGAAGATAGGAGGGATTACCTGGCTACTCAGTCAGTTTGATGCCAGCTTGGGATATATGAAACTCTGTCTCAGAAAAAAGAAAAGAGAAATATTCAAGTAAATCATTGCCAAAAGAATACAAACTGTTGCAGAAACACAGCTGATATTAAGACTCTCATCATCAGTAGCAGTACTCCTGTGACATGAGCACTGGAGGAACATCATCATGTCTTGTAGAACTGCTTCATACAATGTTTTCATTATTTTATAAAAATATGCATCATTTTTGCCTAGTCTTTAGCATGTTTATATTTTTAATAGTAAAACTATCAGGAAAATTGCAGACTTATTGAGATATATATACAATAAATAACAAAGTTTAGTTTTGACATAAAGATACACTTAAGAAACCTTCATAGCTGCCAAGGTAGTGAATGTATTTACTATTCAAAAAGCTTCATTCTCCTCCTCCTTTCCCTTTCTATACGTCCACTTAGTTCACAGTACATTAGTTACAGTCTGAAATTTTATACAGGCATAATAAAGAATAGAATTTGGCTTTTTCTCAGCAGAATATATAGCTACATAAGGTTACTGAGAAGTACCTCTAGTATGTGGAGAATACCAGTTTCATTTTAAGTAAATCTTTGTATATGTAGAGGTGAGGAGGTTTGAGGTTCAAAGTTTTCTATTTGGTTATCCAGTTGCTGCAACCAGATGATCTTTTCTTCTTAGATTGTCCTCTTATATTGGTGGTTTATTTCTGAACTCTCTCTTTTTCATTAATCTGTTTATTTTTATGACAGTACCATTGATTACTCTGTATCTGAGTCATAAATCATAGTATCTCTCATTATTTTTCCTAATTTATTTAACTATTATAAGTATTTTCCTTTTTAAAAATAAAATGGTTTTTTATTATTCTTTTAGTTTTGATTATTCATTACTGTCATTTAGAATACAGGTTATTATAACATTCCTGTATAATGCTCCATTTTATTAGACTTGCGATTGTTCTAGTAGATTTCAACAACTATACTTACAAAAAAAGACATTTTACTTCATATATTTTAGTTTATTTTTTTCCTTCCACTTTTTTATATTTATTGAAAGGATATAAACAAAATTGTTAATGTGATGAATGTTCTGGATTTTCAAACATTAAACAACACTATCTCTAGTAAATCTTTGCCTTAAAATTATTAAACACCTCGAGATACTGTTAGATTTTGTTTAAGTTATATTTAAAATTTTTGCATTTATATTCACAAAAGATCTTGATCTAATGTTTTCTTTTTTTTTTTTGGTTTTTCGAGACAGGGTTTCTCTGTGTAGCTTTGCGCCTTTCCTGGAACTCACTTGGTAGTCCAGGCTGGCCTCGAACTCACAGAGATCCGCCTGGCTCTGCCTCCCGAGTGCTGGGATTAAAGGCGTGCGCCACCACCGCCCGGCTTTGATCTAATGTTTTAATGTGTTTGTGGAAAGTCTTAAACTATAGTTTGAATTGATCTAAGAAATTGGTTGTTAAGGTTATACTGCTCCATTTAAATGAGTACTTATACTAACTCTGAGTTTGTTGGGAAATTTTTCCAATTGTTGATGAATTTATTTTTAGTTATTTATTATCCCTTTTTTAACATATAAATTTATAATGAATGTAAGTCACAGACTATATTTGAAGTAATTCAGCTATTTAAAATATTTTTGTTTATGAATTTTGGATAATACAGTATTTTTATTAGACCTTTGAGAATTTCATGCAATTTTTATTGATCACATTCAATCCCCATTCTTCCCCCCAGCACTTCCCAGATCCACTACCTTTTCTTTTTTTCTTTTTTTAATTTATTTATTATGTATATAGTGTTCTGCTTACATGTATGCCTGCAGGCCAGAAGAGGGCACCAGATCTCATAGATGGTTGTGAGCCACCATGTGGTTGCTGGGAATTGAACTCAGGACCTCTGGAGCAGTCAGTGCTCTTAACCTCTGAGCCATCTTTCCAGCTCCCCCACCACCTTTTCATAACCTCTCCATGTCTATTATTTTCTTTTATAGAAGAGACTGTCTTATAGCAGATGTCCTGAACCTCTTGCTCTTAAAATCTTTCTGCCCTTTTCCACAATGTTTCCTATGCCTTAGGTAGACATTGTGTTATAAATGTATTAATTGGGAGCAGGTATTCCACAGTTAGTTGGTCTCTGCATTTTGACGAGTTGTGGCTTTCTGTAATGATCTCTGTGTGCTGCAAAAAGAAGCTTCTCTGATGAGGGGTGAGAGCTACATGTATCTATGGATGTAAAGACAAGGATTTAAAATGCAGTTAGCAGTTATATTGGTTTAGAAAAGTGGCAAGAATAGATTCACCTTTTAGGCTCCATGGTCTTCTCCAGCCATCGGTAGTTGGCTAAGTTTAAAGTGCCAGGAATGAATTCCTTCCTTTTGAGAAAGCCTTAGTCCAATTAGGTACTATTGGTTACCCTTAGGATATAAGGACCACCATTATACCTTTCAGAATCTTGCCGTTCTGATCATTGTTGTAGTTAAGGTGTATAGGAACACTAACTTGATTTTTCTCCCTTGGCAACTAGCATGACTCCTTTCTATGCTTTGAAAGCTAATCTTCAGGAGGAGGCTTCCAGATCACCTTCAGCTTAATTCCTCCAAGTTCTATGTCTAAAGTGTGTGATGTTTAGCAATAGGGCCTTATCTTCTATTTCTGGAAGGGTAATAACAATATCCTGTATTGGATGAAGGCTCTCTTGGACTTGTCTCACCTCCAACTTAAAAGGTTTCTTATACCTGGCACTAGGATTTTTGTTAGTCTACAGTTTTGATGGGAACATTGTCTCCCAAAGTGACATGACTTCAGTTACGTGTGTGTGTGTGTGTGTGTGCGTGTATGTGTATATATGTAATTTTTTAAAAATAAATTTTTAATTTTTATTTTATATACATTGGCATTTTGCTTGCAGGCATGTCTGTATGAGGGTATCAGTTCCCCAGGAACAGGAGCTGACATGTGGGTGCTGGGAACCGAACCTGGGTCCTCTGGAAGAACAGCCAGCCTTCCCAACTGCTGAGCTATCTCTCTAGCCCATATATATATCTATATCTATATCTATATATATAGATATATAGATATAGATATATAGATATAGATATAGATATAATTTTAAGTTAACATAAAATAATTCCATATGGCTTTTTCAAACATGTAGTCATATGTAATACCTGAAATCATTTTTAATAAATGATGCCATAATATATTAGAGATTAGCAAAATACTTTAGGGATTATTTGCAAAATAATCTTTATTATTGATAATGATAATTTAATATATTTATTATATTTTCAAATGTTTTAGAATATGAATAGCTTGTATTTAGTAGTCAGGAAAAATAATGTCAAAAGTAAAATGTACCCATGATCTGTAGCCAGATTTTTCTTTGGACTGCCAGCTGACAAATAACAAAATGGAGACTTATTATTAATTAGGAAAGCTTGGCCTTATCTTAGGCTTGACTCACTAGCTCTTATTAATTTAATCTATATTCTGTTCTGTGGCTTGTAACCTCATCTCTCCATACTGCCCATGCTGCTTCCTCCATGTCTGACTGGTGACTCCGTTGCCTTCTTCACAGAGTTCTCTCTGGCCAGAAGTCCTGCCTATACCTTCTGCTTAGCTATTGGCTATTCAGCTTTTTGTTATACCAATCACAGAGATACATTTTTCACATAGTGTACAAGTATCCCAGAACATTTTTCCCTTTTTGTCTAAATAAAAAAGAAAGGTTGTAACTCTAATACAGTAAAGTTATATACAGTAAGAACAATTATCACATAAGAATTACATTTACAATGTTCAGTCTCTTTGTATTTGTAAAATTTGGAGAAATTACTCTGTAGTTGGAAGTTTTCCTATGTCCCAGCTGGCCAGCAATCAGGACAAATCTCTCTCACCCACAGACCCACAGCCCACTTATAAAATAATCATTCAGAGGCTTATAATAATTTTAACTGCTTGGCCATTAGCTCAGGCTTATTACTGATTAGCTCTTACATTTAAATTAACCCATAATTTTTATTTATGTTTAGCCACGTGGCTTGGACCTTTTCTCAATTCTGTCTTGTATTCTTGCTTCCTCTGTGTCTGGCTGGTGACTCTTGACTCTGCTGTTCCTCTTGCCAGCATTCTCCTCTTCTGCTGGCCCCGCCTATACCTCCTGCCTGACTCTTGGCCAGTCAGTGTATTATTTATCAACCAATCAGAGCAACACATATTCACAGCATACAGAATGACATCCCACATCATTATTATATATCTTAATCTTGATGAGTCCAGAGTTTTGTACCTAAACCATTTTCTATCATAACTTGTATTACCATCCTAAAAATACCTTTTTAGGCCTTAAAACATCTTTTTAATAAACAACTTAAGATTTTGTTTTTCACCTTTAAAGTTAACATCTTTTATGTAAGTTTTTTCTTTTTCCTGAATTTGAAAACAAAGAAAACTGTATAACTAATTAGTCTTCAATCCTCATCAGAGACCTAAGAAGGATAAAATATTACCTGAGTAAACAGGAAGTTCAAAGCAAACAACTTCCAAAACTATAGAAATGACAAAGACAGCTGGCTTCCTGGACAATCACCCAAGGTTTCTTTGCAATGTTGGGGCATCCATTTTTGGTCTACAGGCCTAGAATATTTGACAGACTTTACTATGAAGCAGGAATTTTGAAGGACTGTCCTACCTTGTCTTGGCAAAATTCAGCAGTTGCCTTCTTTTTTCTTTTGTTTTTGGTTTTTTGGTTTTTTTTGTTTTTCGAGACAGGGTTTCTCTGTGT